TTTGAAATAATGTAAAATAACGTTTTTGAAATTGTTCCCGGACACTTAAAGGAACACTTCAATTATGTCTTATTTTCAAAAATTACTGCCTTAAATTGTTGCAATCAACAATGTCCCTTTTTCACTACTAATTTTCCAGGATACTAGTAATTTTAAGTTTAAATCATTGTACCATCAAATGTCCTTAGACGTTTACTTCAACATTTCAAACTAACATGACAAGAAATTAAAAATACCGCATAGTATGTTACAACAGTTTCATATTTTGAATTTTAAATGATGATACAGGCGATTAAAATCAGCCAAGACGTATTTCACTGAGCATCTAACAATAACATGATGACTACGAGTTTTCCATCGTAAACTCTCTTATACATTTTATGAAGCAATATTCCGCTTTCACTCGAATATGGTTTAAACGATGAGGAAAAACCCTTCTACAATTCAGTGTGTAAATAATAACTTAACAATAATTATAAAAAATGTCAGTCAGCATTTGACTTAATGATAAATTGTTTTTGCTGACAAGGTCATTGTATCGACCACTGAACTTACCAAAAGATGACTTTAAACGAAACTGTTGATATATGCTTGTTTCATCAACTTGCTTGTCAAAATTTATCTCGTTTTAGAAATTGTACATTCGTAGAACATGTTCTTGCAATCTAATAATTGCGTAGATAAACCCCGTATGCAGATGATGAAGTTTTATTGACACATAAGTAAGGAAATTTGACGTTTAAAAAATTATTACGTTTATCATAAAGCTTTGTTGTTAGATTACCATAAACGTCCTTTTCAAGAAAAAGTTATATCCAAACACTGTATGTAACAGATGTGTCAGACTCTGTGGAATCTTTTCAATCAATCTCGTATCATATCGCTATTAGAAATGGAAATAACCATTGCTAATTGACAATACCGTTGTCGATACATCTAAATGTCGAGTTCAAGACCACAGCAAGAGTTTTCTTCTTTTCATGTATAAATATTTTGGACAAATTCATCTTCACATGAAAACATATTAGGTTTGCTTATAACGGGGCGGAATTAATACCATGGGATATTGGACCTGGTCTCCAAAAAACACAGAAATATTGTGATTCAGAAACTCAAGCGTCTTTGAAATACAGTATATCAACTTCTGAGTACTTGTCTGTACAGTCAAAATGTTTTGACAGAATAATTTTGCAAATGACCAATGACAATAACATTTTTAGACGATCACTAACTTGTTCATTAACTTTTTCAAACCGAGATACCGCCATATGACAATGGAGAGCTGCAAATTTAGACCTGCACTGCAGGACCCATGAGCAGTGAGGGGGACTTTTTTGTGACAGCAAATACTGCGACACAAGAATTTATTCATACAGTTAATACGGTTCGAAAAGACAGATTTCCACATCCCGAAGTGGGATCTGAATCCGAAATCCCTTACTCCACGACTCTAGAGCAAATGTTCCAACCACGCGCCATCCGATTCACCGTCCAGACAAGTAGAAGCAGAAGATAGAGATAAATAATCAGCTCTGATCGTCCTTTAGAGTATATAATGGACTGTAACAGAATTCGAACGCTCCATCAATTTAAAATAACTTTCGCAACCAGTACAATTTGTTTTTATTTAGAGTCGCAGTAATATGGTTTAGGATAAAGGCCAAGTTCAAGACTCCCAGATATCATTATCAAAAATATCATCAAAATCAAAGAGTTGTAGTTTCAACATAAGTTTAAAATCATGTAAATGTTTAAGTAAATTTTCATGGGGTTTTCAAGAAGTTTTCAATGGTCTTGCTCGGGATTTTTTTATGTACGGATTGGCCAATTGAAAAGACATTATCTTATCAAAAAAGTTACTTTTCAAATTTGCAAATCTTAAGAGATATTTTTCTACATCATGATTCGTTTATTTTTCCTAGCTCATAGGCGCTTAATTAATTTCTTAGTAGGAACAACACTTTTCTTTAAAACATTCAAAGTACTTTGATTACTTTCATTAAAATATATATCCTTTTCCATTCAATCTGCCACATTTCCATAAAAATCATTAAATGTGCTTAAAACTTCTATTGGATCATAATGAACGTAATCAGTTTTACATGAAAGGATTGTATGCAATTTGAATCATTCTGATTTTATAAGTCCATGAATATACGACTCTGTCTAAAATATTAACATTATTTCCATCACAATGTTAGCCCGATTTTGAATGAAATTTTGATTTTGAAAACTTACTATCATTCAATTGTAAAAATAAGAAGGGTATTATTCTCATTTTTCAACAATTTGAAATTATGACTTTTTTCAGATATTTTTTCATGCCGTTAATTTCTCGATTAATTTTGCAGGTATATCTTGTTATAAAACAATATGGAATTAAACAAGTGGCACTGGAAATTCGCAATAATTAAGTTCATATACATGTGTAAACTTAACTAAGATGAGATTAAGAATTGTAGAACATTTGTGTGTTTCATAACAGCAGTCTACTAACAGCATGTATTCAAGTGTTTTTAATCACAATAAAAAGCGTTATTTTGATTTTTATAATACTTGTTTTTTTTTAATTTTAATAACTGAATTTATTCCTCATTGGATACAAAATCACATAACATTTAAAACTCTTGAGACAACAGTAAGATTTCAAAATATACTTGTATTTGTATAAATGACATAATGGTTCTCGGTCGCTTGTTTGCAACATAAACTCTGCGTTGAAAATCAATAAAGTAAAACAAGGCATAAAAAGAATGGAATTTATAATGTTGTTTGTTTTATGCTACGAAAATCATGATATTTGGTGTTCATTAAAGTACAGAATAATTATAATTTTTCGTTTTGTAACCGTAATAAAGTAAGTTCATGTAAATAAAAAGAACAAAATTACTTTAAATAATTTATTTTTATCAGAGGAATTATACTTTTACAAATGTACAAAAGTCTAGCTATTGCAAAGCTTAATTTATAATATAATATAGTTAGGTAAAGAAATGCCTTCCTATAAAATTAGGAAAAAAATTCTTGACATCAAAGAATTTATATGTATAATAAGGAGTTACAGAAGAAATATCTTTTTATAAAATTGGGGGGGGGGGGGGGGGAAATCTTGACATAATAAAATTTAATAAAATTTCATTTTCATGCATGATTGTTTTATTTCTGTTAAAAGCTGTGACAACGCATGGCTTAAGTCCACCAGATTTCATCAGTTCTTGGCGTTCTATAACGGCATATTCAAACCCAGAGGTCCTTATCCATCACAATCTTGGGGAGATGCCAATGAAAATTGACGTGCAGGTGCGAGTTAACCATCCTGTTCACGGACGCATAACATTTCTTGCAACTGGGTCTGGACAGACTGGCCCGGATCTATCAGCACCATTCGGAGGAGTTATCTACCTTTATAATTCAAACTCTGTAAAAATAATGGCCCCGGGACCAAGTACCTGTGCGTCCCCATGTCCAGGGGGTGTGGCATACTTTGGTGAGTCTCTCTCCCTCTCTCGTTTTCGTCTCTGAAGGTTTCTGTTAGTTTTTGAGAGAATAAAATCATAATGGTCTTTTTTTCTTAGGTGGTAATGGGTTTGCTGGACCATCAACATTAAGCGGAGTAATCCTTACCGGTGAAGTTAAAGTACGTGCTTGGAAAACTTGCACATTCGCCAAACCAGCGACTATTTCTTCTGCATATCCAATCAGTAACAAGGACACAGGTATATAAATCATTAAATATAGTTTTAAAAGATTTCAAAGAGACGGTCTTGTTCAGAAATAAGCTGTACATTAAAAACTTACAATCATTTAAAGAAATAAAATCAAGATGTTTAAGATTGTTGAGAATCCCTAAACGTGGCACTTCGTTCAAGGGTGTTAATGAAATGAAGGAGATAACGACCAGTATTCAAGCTCAAAAGTTCATTTAAACCAAACAAATCATGAAGAGAGCAAACACAGACCATTCAAATATTGATCAGAGATGGGATCAGGTGCATAGAGAAATGAGCATCCCCTGCCGACTGGTCACAGACCCCGGTGTTGTATGTTATTTCTCAACAAAAATTTGAAGGAACTCAATGCTACATGTATGTATAACATTTATAAATTATTTCTGTTTGAACAGAGAACTATTATAAGATATCAGTTGGGTTGTCTCCCGATCTTATCCTTGCCAAGGTGTTTTTTGAGGACGGATGGATAATGGACGCACAAGGTATATAAGGTCTACTTTAGGATTTCCATATCATCTTCTTTATAATTGCCAGAAGCCATAAAACATACTAATTAATTCAACATTCAAAAGATTTTATATTGATAACTGAAGTATAAAACAAGGTACTGAAACAAGTATTCAGTTTGAATACATTTAGATGAGCCACCTATATTCTTTTGTACATCTCAATCGTGTACGTACATGTACATATAGACTTCATTTTACACGAATTGTTCTGTTTCTATATAATGATTTCTGATTAAAAAATTCCGTCTATTGAAGAAAATAAAAATATGTCAATTTTTGTACTCTTCGATAAATTTTTTTTTCCTTATTCCATGAAAATCTAACTACACAAGTAAATACACAGTGATAAAGCCATTAAGTTTTTCTTATTATTGACGTCAAAATACAAACATCTGGATAAATTTATCAATCAAAATTCTAAATATACTCTTAGGTACCGTCTCCTTCACGGGCGGATCTAACGTTGGTGGAGTACAATATGTGTACGATGTGACGAATGTTTACATCAGAACACCTAGCAACGGTCAGTAAGAGTATCCAATCAACATATTCAATTTTTGTTTCCCCTCGTAAATACAAATTGATTTATGCTACTTTGAATAAATTTTGTCTGTAGAGGAACTTGTTAGTCTCATTTTTGGGATACTTTCTTTTTCAGTAGAAAATGAACCACTTTCTTTACAGGTAAAGTGTTTAATGGCGTGGGGTGGGGGAGTGGAAGCGACATAGAGTACAATAATGGGACTGTCAGGGTCTACACGTGGAGCTTTATGGACCTGGAGAATGATCCTGGTCTGGAGACGGTTCTGTACCCCGGATCTACCAACCCAAAATATCAGCAGCTGACCTACAATCCCTCCAACGATTCCGTTATTCTTATGGTCCACGTAAGGGAAACTTGGTAGAAAAAAAAGATAGCAAAGGACCTAGTGACAACAAACAAAACATACTTAAATGACAAAAGTATCTGTCTTTTTCGAAGGTTTGAAATGATCGTATATGGTTTTTTTTTTTTGTTTTTTAACATTTCCCTCGAGAATTTTTCACTTATTTGGAGACAAGGTTTGTATTAATATCGCCTCTGTTTGTAAGGTTTGTTTCTATAATTGTATTTTAGAATAATCAATTTAGTATAAATTTTACGTCTGGAAATCCTACATAAAGACACATTTCAGTTTTAAAGTAAGAAGTTCTTAAAAATTATATTTCATATACCAGCCCACCAAGGTGAGTTCGATCTACCCTTTATTTGATTCTTATTCTTCATAAAAATCCTCGCAACAGAGATACATTGCTCCAAAAGGCCTTTTCTTTACTCATACTAAAATATAAATTGCATATTGTAAGAAAGAAACTTCGGACGTTCTGCTGTCAGCTTATTGTAGAAACTTTGTAAATCAGTTGTAGATCCTTTTAAAAAAAAACTAAGAACTTAAAGAAATGTTTAAAATTACCAAATTTTTCAAAAGTATTTAACATTGAAACTAACAAGTTTTCCAACAATTCTTATGATATTCATAATTAAAATCTGTACATTTTGGTATCAGAGACAACTGTTCCTTAGAAAACAGAACTAAGAAATTTTCACATTTTGTAATTGGTCATTAGGAAAATTACTTCGCTAAAAAAAAACCTCAGATCGTACAAACAAGGACTATGAAATTAAAATTTAAAGGATGTAGTTTCTCAAGGGCACTAACTGTTATAAGCCGACCTGTTTATATCTGTATGAAGCAGAATTTATGAAGTAAAAAAAAAAGCATATGACATAACGATGTGTACTCAAGCTCAAAAGTAAATAAAACAATACAAAATTAGAGCAGAGTAAACACGGATCTCCAAAACATTAAAGGTGGGATCAGGTGTCATGGAGGAATGAGCATCCCCTGCCGACCGGTCACGCCCGCCTTGTGCTCCTTGTCACGTCGGGAAAAAAACCCCGGAAAAATCTGTCGTCAATTCAGTGTATAAATACTGGATTAACAGTTAGTATGAAAAACGTCACTCAGCATTTGACTCAATGATAAATTGTATTTGTTGGCAAAGTCATTGTATCGACCATAGAACTTACGAAATGATGACTTTAAACGAGACTGCTTATTTTTTTTATAAACTTGTTAGTCAATAATTTACCTCGTTTTATAAATTGTTCATACGTAGAGCATGCTCTTGCGTATCGAATCAACTGAGTTATATAAACTCCGTATGCAGGTGATAAAGGTATATTGCTGCATAAGTAAGTGATCTTGGTTGTTAGATTACCATTAACGTCTTTTTCAAGTAAAATATCCAAATATGAAACAATGAAACTGTCAGACTCTGTGGTATCTTTTTACCTCAAACTTCTACATATAGGAAGAGGCAAATATTTGATGTGTGAGCGGTCAGAAGGGAAAGTTTTCCTCCTGTAGACATCTGATTCAAACTCTAAACTTCCAGGGGGTCTGTGTTTTATGCCATTATCTACACTACTTGCACTGTATGTACAAAGATATTTTTGTAATATAGCCCTGGCGACCACGATTTTAAAAAAAGTCTCACAAAATTGACACAATCGTAGTTGCAAACTTATTATTTTTTCTCATCATTTAAAAATTAGTTCATAATTTACAGGTTCTTTTTGTACGTTTCAGTTTTTATATACCGGTATTTTTTCTTTTATATTTTTCATTTGTTATATACAAACATTCTTCATTTTATAGGCATCTTCCCGGGATGTAAATAATTACGGTCTGTCATTCCCCTTGTTGGGAACAGCCATGACGGATGGTTCCGGTGTGACTGGGAAGTATGGGTCCTCGTTCTTCGCCTTTGATGATAGTTACCTGTACATTTGGAGACCATCCCTCGCTAACGGCTGTGGAACATTGGTTGGCGGGAAATGGTCAAATAATCTGCGGGACGGTGTGGCTGACTGCTCCCCCTCCCCAGATATATACGTCAAATTCATCCAAGCCAACGTGGAAGGTACAATCGCAAAGAGGGTTTTAAAATTGTGTTTTGTTTTTGTACTCTTAAAAAACGAAAATAGTTAACAAAGATTGTGTTGTTGTTATTAAAAATACGCATAGGCTTTTTTAACGGATACGTAGTATAAAGGACGAACTGTTTCTGCTTTGTTATCAAACCATTTTGTTATATTCGTTTAGTTTACAATATGGCCTTGGGAACAATAATCACTTTGCCGTACGCTTCAATTTATTTTTAGCATGTTCACTATAAGCGTCTTTTACTATAACAATAGTTGAATAGTTCTATATGTGAATGTATTGTTATTAATTTAGAACCGCCGTGTGGAGAGAAAGGGTGTTCTGGTACACCCGCCGGACCGTTCTGTGACTGTGGAGGAACTGGGTTTGAGGGACAGTATTGTACAGTGCGTGAGTATAGGATTATCAACCTGAGATGATATAGTTCCATGAGAGACAGTACTGCATATATAGCGTAGGAATATAGCAGCATTAATGTGAACTAAAATGGTTAGGGAGGGACAGTATTTACAATGCATGAGTAGGAATATCAATTTGGGATTAAATAGGAAAGCTATGATTATTTCAGGAATAACTCTATTATGTTTTGGTTTCTGATCTGATCAAAGAGCCTTGCGTGATAAATCGCATAACACTAAAGATCATAAAAAATAACAGAAATTATAAAACAAAAAAGATATATTAATATGTACAAGTTCTTGGTTTCGTAAACTCAAGTGTTCGGAGTTATAGCTGTTTTAGCTGCCCAACCATCAGTTATCTGAGTTTATGATGAACAAATGCTATTGTTGTAACACGAATGATATTTGTTACAGCTGTTGAGTGTCCTGTGTTTGTGTTTGGTAAGGACGCAATAATGGCTGAGTATGAGGATAAAACCTACAGTTATCTAGAATGGGCCGAGTTTTCTTGTATGACGGGTTACGAATATAGTTCAGGATCCCAGAACAGGTCCTGCCTGGCCAACGCCACCTGGAGCGGAGAGCCCTTCACCTGTACCCGTAAGTAAAATCTATAGAAGGAACTCTCTTCACCTGTACCCGTAAGTAAAATCTGTAGAGGGAATTCTCTTCACCTGTAACTGTAAGTAAAATCTGTAACGGAACTCCTTTCACGTGTACCCGTTTTAAAAATCTGCAGATGGAACTCCCTTCACATGTACCCGTTAATAAAATCTGTACACAAAACTCTCTTCACATGTAACTGTGAGGAAAATCTTTAAACAGAACTCAATGTACCTTTAGGTGTAAGTAAAATTTGTAGAAGAAATGTCCTTTACCTGTACCCGTAAGTAAAATCTGTAGACAAAACTCTCTTCACATGTAACTGTGAGGAAAATCTGTAAACAGAACTCAATGTACCTTTAGGTGTAAGTAAATTTTGTAGAAGAAATGTCCTTTACCTGTACCCGTAAGTAAAATCTGTAGAAAAAAACTCCCTTCAAATGTAACTATGAGGAAAATCTGTCAAGAGAACTCAATGTACCTTTAGGTGTAAGTAAAATTTGTAGAAGAAATGTCCTTTACCTGTACACGTAAGTAAAATCTGTAGACAAAACTCTCTTCAAATGTAACTGTGAGGAAAATCTGTCAAGAGAACTCAATGTACCTTTAGGTGTAAGTAAAATTTGTAGAAGAAATGTCCTTTACCTGTACCCGTAAGTAAAATCTGTAGACAAAACTCCCTTCACATGTAACAATGAGGAAAATCTGTCAAGAGAACTCAATGTACCTTTAGGTGTAAGTAAAATTTGTAGAAGAAATGTCCTTTTCCTGTACACGTAAGTAAAACCTGTAGACAAAACTCTCTTCAAATGTAACTGTGAGGAAAATCTGTCAAGAGAACTCAATGTACCTTTAGGTGTAAGTAAAATTTGTAGAAGAAATGTCCTTTACCTGTACACGTTAGTAAAATCTGTAGACAAAACTCCCTTCACATGTAACTGTGAGGAAAATCTGTCAAGAGAACTCAATGTACCTTTAGGTGTAAGTAGAAGAAATGTCCTTTACCTGCACCAGTAGGTAAAATCTGTAGATGGAACTCTCTTCACTATACCCGTAAGTAAAATCTGTAGACGTAACTCCCTTCACATGTACCCGTAAGTGAAAATCTGAAGACTTCATCCAAATGACTGGACAGGGTTATTGTAGTTTATATCTAACACTGAATGATCCAATGAAATATATGGAGATAATGAACAGTATTCAACATGCTCAAGCGTCCATTAAAAAATACAAAATAGGAAAAAGCAAATACGAGCCTCCAAAACATCAGAGGTTGGATCAGGTGCCATGGAGGAGTGAACATCTCCTCCCGACCGGTAACGTCCGCCGTGTGCTCCTTGTAACGATCGGTAAATAACGGAAAACTTCGTCGACATTTCAGTGTTTATATAATGGCTTAATTATTATTATGAAAAACGTCAGTCAGCAGATAAATTGTATTTGCTGACAAGGTCATTCAGTGTACATGTATCGACCATAGAACTTACGAAATGATGACTTAAAACGAGACTGCTGATATTCATAATGTGCGTAAAAAGAAGAAAACACTTGCTTTGCCTTCAACTCGACACTGAGATATATCGACGATGTCAATTGACAATGTTACTTTCCATACCTATGTCGATACGATATATCCTGGTGAGCTTGAGATAAAAGATACTACAGAGTCTGACACATCTGTTTCATACTTGGATATTCATAGGCGTCGGAACCGGGGGATTTAACCCCCCACATTTTTTGCAAAGATATACATGATATAGGCATTGAGCATTGGGGCGTAGGTATAGCCCCCCACTTTCCACAAACACGTTGCAGTTTAGGACAAAAAAGGGTAAATATGAGCGTTTGGAAGAAACACGTTTCCTTTTTTTTGTTTAAGTCAGGCTTTTTAGTAGGTTTGAATTTTTTTTATCTTACTCTTACCCCCCCCCCCCCCCACTTTCTATTTGCTTCCGACGCCAATGATATTTTACTTGAAAAAAGACTCAGTGGTAATCTAACAACCAAACTCTATGTTAAACTTGATGACTTCAACTTTTCTATCGTCAACTTACCTTACTTATGCAGCACAATAGACCTTCATCACCTGCATACGGAGTTTATATATCTCAGTATTCGATACGCAAGAGCATGCTGTACGTATGAACAATTTCTAAAACGAGGTAAACTATTGACAAACAAGTTGATGAAACAAGAATAGCAATCTCGTTTAAAGCCATCATTTCGTAAATTCTATGGTCGATACAATGACCTTGTCAGCAAACATAATTTGTCATTGGGTCAAATGCTGACTGACGTTTTTTATACTCATTGTTAGTCCATTGTTTATACACTGAATTGACGACGGATTTTTCCGTTATTTCCCGATCATGACAAGGAGCAGACGGCGGGTGTGACCGGTCGGCAGGGAATGTTCACTCCTCCATGGCACCTGATCCCACCTCTAATGTTTTGGATGTTTGTGTTTGCTCTGCTCCTATTTTGTGTTGTTTTATAGACTTTGATATTGAATACTGTTCGGTATCTCCATATCCTTCATCAACTTGTTTGTCAAAAATTTACCTCGTTTTAGAAATTTTTCAAACGTAGAGCATGCTCTTGGGTATAAAATAAATACAGAAATATAAGACCCAGTCTGCAGGTGGTGAAGGTATATTGCTGCATCAGACAGTTGACGATAGAAAAGTTATAAAGTCATTACGTTTATCACAAAGCTTTGTTTTTAGAATAACTTTTTTCAAGCAAAGTAATTAAATATGCAACAAATGTGTCAGATTCTGTGGTATATCTTTTGTTTCAAGCTCATTGGAATATATTGTATCGAAATATGAATGGAAATGATAGCTTTTAATTTACATTACGTCGCCGATATATCAAAATATCGAGTTGAATGCCTTAGCAAGTTTTTAAGTTATATTCCAGAAAAACATGCAGAATTGTTCAGATTCCATATGAATTGATATCCCTTTGGTGTGTTACTAGTAATTCTCACTTACACACAAAATTCTTTGTTTAACCCATGAATTTAAAAAAAAAATAATCTTTAAAACATTTTTAAGACGAATGTTTTTTGTTATCGTTCAAATTTTGTAAGAATTTTCTTCGAAAATGTTTATAATTATAGACTACCAAACAACTCAAGAATTCAATAATCAACCTTTCAGTTCCAATATTTAATCAAATATTTGAAATAATTCAATGAAACTTTCTCTATTTAAACTTACCAATCGATTTTGATAAACTGAAAGTAAAGTAAAAAATATCATCTTTTAGCAATTACTTTCCCATAATTTGTTTAATTTAAGTTTCAACATTAAAACTAATCAATTATTTTTTGGAGAAAAATGAATTAAACCTGGTATAAAATTTAACTGTTTTATTTTCATCGTGTAGCGATTCCTTGCCCTGATGCTGAGCCTGCCATTCTGGGGACCTATAACGGTACCTACAATAAGTGGTACAGGGAAAATGTTACTTATGTGTGTAACGCTGGACACGATATTCTCTCCGGGGACTCTGTCAGGACGTGTCAGGCTAACGCAACGTGGAGCGGAACACCTTTGGAATGCGCCTGTAAGTTATGACACGGTAACATTAAGTTTATACAGCTCATGAAGTTTTCAGTGATGAACCGTACTAATAGGAAGAAAATGCACAATGTGGTCAACTGAATTTTTACTGAAAGATCTTAAAAGATGACTGAGTGGAAGGGCTCTTCTTTAAAGTCCTTTTATTGAAATTAACTGAATAACATACATATATTCCCATCAGTTACACGCTTATAAACATATCAAAAGCATTAATTTCATCAGTCATGAATATAAACATATCAAAAGCATTAATTTCAAGACTAAATTACAAGCAAGTAGAAGCATTCTTAATCTTACCGTTCCTATTGGTTGTGTTGTTGTTTTCTGGCAGTGAGTTGTGGTGACCCAGACCCACCACCGGTGAACGCCTACCAGACAAACTTCGGTAAAACTTACGGTGTGGTAGCCACGTTCTCCTGTAAAACTGGACATGAATATGACTCGGGGGACACCGCTATACTTTGTCAGACAACTGGTTCCTGGAACGGAACGGCTCTTAACTGCAAAAGTACAATCTACTAATGATTCAAACAAAGTATCATATTCTTATTTCTTACGGAGATCTAAAGTTGCTTTTTGTTGTTTACTTTTCAATGGCAATTTCCCTCCCCTGATACAAAAAAGTTAAAATTTCTTGTTGACAACTAAGACATATCCGAAACCTTTTAAATTTGCAGTGAATTCGGAGCGAAATACTGTGAATGTTTTATCAGATAAATGTTGGGCACAATTATCACAAATTTATATCCGTCTATATTTAATCTAACTTTGACCTTGTATACATTAAATTTTAGAGGTTCAATGCGGTTCTCCTGCAAGTGGCACAAACGCAGACATGGAGGTTTCCGGTACGGCTTATAAGGACAGAGTCAAGTACGAATGTCATCCTGGCTACAATTTCTACCACCCTTTCTCCGGTACATACAAGACAGTGGCTTATCGGGAATGTACAGCAAACGGAGTCTGGCAAGCTCCACTCATCTGCAACAGTACGTAGCGCGACATCAACTTTGTGTGATTTCTTTATTCTTTATTTTGCAGCAGTAGGATAGCAAGTTGCTCACTTTTATAGTTAACTTACGTCTGGAAAAAATTTCGTGTGTAGAGATGTTTTTTTTTTAAATCTGCGGTTACTGAACCTATGCATGTGTCCAAAACTCTTGCACGTTCTATAGAGTGTATTCTATTCTTAATGTTAGGGAACATCTTTTTCATCAACGAACACAAATTTATATATGTGCATGAATATAAATTCTTCTTATTAGAGTCTTCTGAAAGCTATAAACTTGACTGTGGCTGTCAGATACCCTTTGAGAATTAATGATTTAGTTACTTTACCCTCCTTTACATCCAGAGTTAAACTGTGGCGACCCGGGAACACCACAGAATGCAGTTTTTGATCATCTGAACAGTGACGTTGGGAACCATGAATTTACATCCGTCCAATCATACACTTGTTACCAGGGATACGGGCTAATAACCGGAAGTCTGCAGATTGAATGTACACAACATGGCAACTGGAGTAATACACCACCTTCTTGTGAAAGTAGGATGTAATTCATATTTATTGCTATGTCTGGACAGCTAGATTGAAAATATACATTTGGTCTTCAAATACGTTTAATTTTATTTTTCCTTTTTCAGTCAAAAAATGTACGCATTTTGGTAATGTTACGGATGGAAACGTGTATTATCAAGGATTGGAGTACTTAAACTATGCGGTAACCGTTTGCAATCCAGGATACGCCATAGCGTCCGGAAATGCTACGCGCATGTGTAATGAAAACGGTGACTGGACAGGATCTTTAGCAGTTTGTCAACGTAAATTTAAAGAATTATATTCATAATTTCTATTTTGCTTATTTATTGAAGTCCCTCTGTGTCCTCTATTCCTGATTTCCTTTTAGCAAGCAAATAATATATACAAGCCAAAGATAACTTACGCTATATATGATTACTTCATTTATGTAACAAAAAGATCCATTGAGTTCATGTATTTTCTATCTAATTCAATGATTTTTTTTTTCAACTTTAACAATTTTTTGAAATATTTTATTTTTAGAAATTCAGACTATGCGATTCGTAAGCCCGGATGATTTCAACTTTACATTGCCAAGCTTAGATGAATTAAACAAGCTTCAAAATGGAATTAAAGTTGAATGGAAAAGCACCTCATCTTATCAAAGAACTCTGAATTCCCAGGAAGATACAAGAACCAGCGCAAGGATAATCGGCATATCGGGGCTTCTTATTGTGTTGGGAATATGTACATATATCTGCTCCCTAGACTTCATAAAGCACGTAAGAGTACATGGGAAAGTGAAAGTGACACAAGGCATGAAGCAAAACCCAGATGTTCTGGTTGATAATGGAACCAGCGACAAGTACGCACAGAAAGGCGGACAAAAGGGGAAGAGGCGCAGTGCTGGAGTATACTCGGTCGATGACGTAGAGCATATGTACGCCTAAAAAACCAAAAAAAGGAAAAATTTAAGAAACAAATCTATTTTTTCACGTATCTATTTTTATTGGCATTCTTGAACAGCAATCAAGAACGAGAACTCCTTACATGCATGTATATTTTGTAACATTTTTTTTCATTGAGATTGGTTTTCTCAGCTTATATTTTATCAAGAGCAAAATTTTGTTTAATTCATCATGATTTCTCCGCTTTGCCAGTCGAATTATTTGTTTGAGGCATTTAGAAACATATACCATTCTCTTTGATACTTTTTTTTTACTGATTTTTTTTATTGTTCACAAGAAAGTTAAATTATTAAAATGAAACTGTTCTATTTTGATCCTAAGGATAAGGTTATCTGTATCGAAATTGACTAAGCTGTATGTCTAGACTGAATTCCTCTCTGTTGAAGGCATTAGTCCAAAACATCCTGCAAAGGTTTTGAGAAAGAGTAGCTGTTTTTTGCACTTGTATGTCATTGTGTTCCCTTTAACTGCCTGATTCTCTGTATGAATTATTCAATGTCATCCTTGAATTATTTTATTAAATAAAGAGGTTTTTAAGTATATTTCAGTTTAATTATTAAAGGTGTGTGTTAAGGTGTTTTGGGGATTCTTCGTAGATGTGTCATTTGACCCCTACCGGTGAAACCTCACCTCACCTATCCTCTTCGTGTCTGCTGGCACATAAGGTCTCCGGCATGCCTCTGTTTTGGCTTCTGTCTTCGCTAATTATAATGCCCATTTCTTCCAATCCAGCTGCAATCTTTCTTGCTCTTCTCCACGTTGTTTTCTACTGGCGTACTTTCTCCTTTCTCTGGGTGCCATGTAAATGCTGTTGTACAAATTCTGGAGTTCTCCATCTTCATTATATGGCCAGTCCAATTCTACTCTCTGAGAGTAATTATCTCGCTTGTTCTAGTTGTTTTCGTTCAATAATGGAGTTCTTGATTTAATATTTTATTAGGCCTCTTACTCTCAAAATTCTTTCAGACATCTCTGAATCTTTTTGTCTCCATCCATTGTTTTCCACGTCTCATTTTCATACCCAAAACAAGTTCTTACAGATCTTGATTTTGCCGACGACATTTCCTTACTATCAGATGAAATCGTCCAAGCCCAGGAACTGTTATCTAGAGTAGAGCGTGAGTGTAAGAAGGTTGGACTATGTATCAACGCCAAGAAGACAAAAGTTCTCCCCTCCAATACTGACAATCCTACGCCACTCAAAACCTTAGATGGCACTGAAATCGAATGGGTCGAAGATTTTAAATATCTTGGCTCCTGGGTCGAAAGTTCAGAAAAGGACATCGCTGTTCGAAAAGCACTAGCCTGGCAGGCTCTGAACAAAGCGTCCACAATATGGCGCTCAACAATGCGAAGAGATCTCAAGTTGCACTTCTTCATAGCCACAATAGAGTCTATTCTGCTGTATGGCTGCGAGAGCTGGACCCTAACAGTAGCCCAGGAGAAGTCACTAGATGGAACCTATACACGCATGCTTCGTAAGGTTCTAGACATTCACTGGACAAGCCACATTCCCAACGAGATCCTATATGGTAACCTACCTAAGGTCAGTGATAAAATAGCCTCCAAGAGAATGCAGCTAGCTGGGCATTGCTTCCGTCTTCCAGAGCTCAGCGCACAATCATTGGTACTGTGGGAGCCAAATCACGGACGCCGTGGAAGAGGAAGACCCAAGGCCACATATTTGGACACACTAAAGCGTGACACGAAGACAAGGGATGAAATGAACTAGCTTCCTTAATGGCTGATTGGACGAACTGGCGTGGACATGTCGTTGGTCGTCTAAGGACGATCGAGTGAGTGTGAGTGATTTTCATACATTAGAACTGACAGCGCCAAGTTGTTTGTTTTCCTTTGGATGGAAAATTGTGATGAGCTCCATATTTTTCTGAGTCTTCCAAATTATGATTTAACCTTTACAAGACTGTTAGTAATGTGACTAATGTCCACATCTGATCCACCCTTTGTTGTTATCACGCGCGCCTCCAAGGTAAGGAAAGGTTTCTACATCCTCCAGGTCTTGTCCATCAATTTTGACTGGCTCTATCATGCCAGAGTTGAGTTTTACTACTTTGGTTTTTTTCGATGTTTATTCTATTTAAAGCGAGCTTGACGTGCAATTCCATTTAGTCTATATATCCTTTGTTTGATGTCCTTTTTTGTAATTCGTTGTAGGCCTTTATTACATTTTCCCAGATGTCTTCAACGCTTTCCAATTCTTCTAACACTTGGAATTTTTTCAGCTCCAGTGTGATTGCTCTTCTTTTTCTCTAATTGCTTTAGTTTTGTGACATCATATTTCTTTTTATGTGTGTCAACATTTAGCTTTTGTTTCTTCAATTTTACTCTGATCTTACGCCTTATCAGTTCATGATCACTGCTTGCAATAGCTCCTCTTCGTCCTTGTATCTGAGATGGATGTTCTGTGTTGTTTCAATGCAAGCACACTGCGCTTGCAATACATGTAGCTCCTCACATCGCCCTTGTATCTGAGATGGAAGTTTTGTGTTGTTTTGATGTAAGCACACGATCCATTTGGTTTTTGGTCTTTCCATCAGGTGAGGTCCAGGACATTCCTGTGTCTTGTCTAATAAGGAAATACTGTTCCTGTGATCATTAAGTTGTTGACCTAAACATATCTAATATACCGTCCCGTCATGTGTTTTCGTGGTGTATACGTTTTCGTGGTATTTTTTATTTTTAGGAATAATCCCACAATGCGAGATGGTCGTAAGCTATTAATGAACCCTGTTGTTTTTGACCAAATGTTAAACCTTTTTGCCTTTGCCAAAATAGCACACGCATATCAAATTTGACAATTTGCGTAATATACGCTTATTCGTCGTGTTTTGAACTAGAATATCAAACTTACAAACTAATAGCCGGCGATCCTGCTTATCATCGTCTGTTAATTAACTAACTATACAGCTTCCGGTCGTGTGACAATAATTTGGAATTTCCCACTTTTGATATTTTTTTCTACGGTGATCTAGTAACGTCATTTTTTATATACTTTTCAAAGAAAATATCGGGGGTGTTAAAAACTTATATGCTAAAAAAATATTATGCCATTGATAATTAATTGAATAAAACATTTAATTTCTTTAAGTATACATGGAATTTATATTTTAAAACATGAAACATTAAAATAAAGCTTTACGTAATTACTTCTAGGCCACTCTTGAGAAAGAGAAAATTTTTACATTATTTAGCAATACAGATTAGGCAGATATATGTGGTCTTAATTAATAACAAATAAATTTCCATGTAAATAATATAATCATTTTGTCAATTAACTAGTATTTTTGACACTGTAAAATTTATAAGAATTTTGCCCGACTAGATTTCCGTAGTTTACTTGTTTTATAAATACCACGAAAACATATGACGTCATCAAAAAAATCGAAAGAGCAACTATGCAAGAATTCAATGCATCGTCTCAAGCCACGGTTCTCCATAGCTCTCTCCTACCCTTTCTTGGGCACAAATGTCGTAATCTTCTATTTGTTGTAAGTTTTGTTTTCGCAATCAAAATCAACAACTCAACAGTATACAAGAAATATTTCCTACAATGTGATTGGATATTGAAAATAAAGTTCATCATCCGACTATGCTTTACTCGCATTGGTCAATATTTTAATGAGCTAAGTCAACCACGGCCTATACAATGACTTTCTGAACAAATAACAAATGATATGTGAGTTAAAATCATTTTAAAATAAGGAGAATTATTGTTTGTATATGTGATAAATAGCAAACATCTCATTTATTGAGTCTTGAAGCACTTTATTACAAATTAACCGCTTACAAACAGTCTTTTTCCGTTGGTTTTTTTCTCGTTCTCCTATTCCATGCTTCTCCGTAGCACTTCATGACTTTTGTTGTTGTTCCTGCAAACCTCTATATTAAATCTCCAATAATGAGCAATAAGTTGTGCTATAAATGACTTTCTGAAATGTTCCATGTATGCTTCCTTTGTCTTTCAATGGCTTCCGTTTGTTGGTGAGTATACTACAGGCTGGCTTATCTTAATTCAGGGTAAATGTATTTAATCTTACGTATATCAATCTCTCATTTATGGGTTTCCATTCCTTCACTGACTTCTTCGCTTTCTTTGTCAGCATTACTGTATTGTATTCCCACTCCTTCTTGATTTAATCCAATCTTTTTCTTAGTAATGCATAAGTTTTGCAACTTTGAAATATGAAGTTTTGATTGATTTCATAGGCCAACTAACTTCAATAAGCCCAATTATATCAGTCGGTATCTATCCATCTCCTGTTTTATCTGAGCTGTTATATACAGAATTCTCACATTCTAGCTCCTATGTACAAATGTGTAATGTATATGTTGTCTTTGGGTGTGCATAGGGACTTCGGCTTGTAGACTTCCAACTTGCTTTCATCCACCTGCGTCGTGTTGTTTTCTATACATTAACATCTTCATTACGATTATCACAGAGGGCTAGATATCCCGCTGTAATTAAGCTTAGTGCATTCGGGTTTTCCGTAATTATGAAGATACAACTGTGCCTGGGGAATAGCCATGCAGAAAACCCCTGGATTTGGAGCATTAGAGGTTTTCTGTTGGGGTTTTCCCTCCCATTGGCCACATGTTACAGTTAAGGCGCCAGAGTTTCGTTTTTCACCACTGTTGATGTCACTTAGCTACCAACTACCAAGGTTATTAACATGGTCACCAAACGTGGAAGGGTGACATGTGATTCGCTGGCAAAAACTGTTTGAGACGGTAGGCGTTGCTCGAGGTTTTGTAAGTGTGGCGTTGGAAACACCCATCAAAATTTTAACCGAAAAAGTATTTAATCCCTACATATGAATCCAGGGGAAGATACAGTAAAGGTTCCTTCCTCCTGTGTACTGTATGTCTGTCACGTTGTCTCTGTCAGTCTGTTCCACCTGATATTCTGCACTTTTTTCTAAAGGATTGCAGACGTTAAAAACTAAACTTTGAGTGTGTCTTTTGATCAAGTTTGCACTGAAATTTGATAATTTTTGACAAAATTTCTTCGGTATTAAAATTTAATCTTATTATACGAAAATCATTTGGAAAAATTCTTCGTTGGTGTGTACTTTCTTTTCTCTAAGTTTAAGGTAGAAAAATCATCCAGAACTAAAAAAAAAAAATGTCCAAACTCGTAAAACCATGGCCATTGAAAAGGGGTGATATTCTCTCATTTTCGATATCCCGATGAATTCAAAATGAAATCACTGTTTTGAAACTCAATAGCATGTTCTGAATACGACCAATTTGAAACTGAGGCAGGTAACTGACAAATGAGTTGATATAGCAGGTATTAAAATAGTTTCGTTTAAAGTGATCATGAGCATTTTTAAATTAAATTGTCGTTATAATCACTAAATGGCCTTATTGTTTGGGTCGTATAAAATAATTATACTTCACTGTTTTTGTTTTTAAAAAATATTACCAAAATAAGTGCCTTTGTCCCAACCTTTCCACTAAGGCAATGATTTGAACAAACAATATAATTAACACTATCAGGCTTCTTGAAACACAGGGGCATCTTATAAATCCGAAACAGAGGAGGTAAGATGCGCCGGTGGTTCAACGGGATTGCAACATTACCGCTACATTGCAAAAAATTTCAAGCTCGTTACGGCTTATTTCACCTATATACATTTTTCCGGAAATATAAAGGTTGCGTTTACTATATCGTGGTTAGCGGGCAAATTTAGTTTCCTGTTACAAGCGTGGGGAAAATGGCAACACCAAGTAAGTAGCAATTTTATCTAGAAAAACTCATTTTATTCCATAGCAATTAAATAATTTAGTGCAACCGAATCTAATGACAAAGAGTAAAGTATCTGAAGATGAATCGTTAGCTTGTTTGGAAGTTTAAATGGAATACATTGAGATTAAAAAAAAATGTTGCGGTTATTTCCCTTTTAATACATCGTCTAATTTTTCAACATTATCTATTTTCTTGTCCTAAGCAAGAAAAACAGCATCCCTGTTTAGAATTTTAGAAAAATCTAAAATCTTCTTAAATAAGTCAAGCTGTTAAAGTGTAAGAAAACCTGTATATCTTTCTACGACATAAAAAGTGAAAATTTACAAAAATTATGGAGTCCAGTACAAGCACAATCTTTAATAATAATTTGATAAGAGTTAGCTATGTGTAGCTTGAATTAGCTATATAGCTTGATAAACTAATTCAAAGTCATTTGAATTAGCTATTAATCATACTTTGTTTTTAAAATTAAATAAACATTATTTTAACGTGTGGAAAAAAGCTACATTTTGATTCACTGATTGCAGTCATATTATTCTGAAAAGAATGCATTGAATTTATTTATCTTTGCTGTAGAGAAAAAAATCTTTGAAACTGATTAAATATATGAAACATTTTAATTTTACAGAATACAAACTCGGAAATATACCATTAGATAAATGGTCTATTAGAGAACGGCTGGCTCTAGCATGCTCTGTTTTGAGGAGTGGTGATCAAAATTGGTGAGTACCTCATTATATTTGCTAAATAGTACAAAATGGTATGTGGTTGAATCATTATTTCTATTCCTCTTTGTGTTTAATTTGAACTGTGTGAGTTAACTTGTTGTTTATTCATTCAGGGTATCTGTGAGCAGAGCTATCAAGGCCTACGGAGAACCAAACAGACCACCGGAATGGTTCTCTCAGAAGGTGAGATGTTCAGTCTGGGTACAAGTCAAAACGGCACCTGGTGAAAACGGCACTTAGGAAATATGCAAAACGGCACTTGAGAGTAGTCAAAACGGCACTTTAGAAAAGTCAGAATGGCACTTATTTTATTTTGAGAATTTGATATTGTTTATACAGAAAGTGGATCTTTATGTTACATTTATAGAATAAATGTGTATATTATTATTGATAAAAAGTTTAAAAAATATTTTAGGAAAATAATTAAACTGATTCATTTGAAAATTATTATACTTTTGTACAAGGGTTAGATTTTTAAAAATTTATATTTTAAATCATATATATTTATTTGCTACAAAAGAGATCAAATCCCAATTATATTATTATGATCCTTTGAAATTAAAAAAATTATAGTGTTGCAAATATGTATACTACTCTGTTTTGGGGGTTGCCAGTCATTGACTAATTAGAAGCCAGTTAGAGTATGTTTACTAAGAATACACTTGTAGGTTTAGGAAACAAAAGACCATTTCACACCTCCCCTTCAATAATCTGTTGATCGTCAATTTGCAATCATATACAGCTACTATTGTGCAAAAAATGTCAAATGGATTGTACACAAGTTAGAAAAATAATCCTCTCGCAACTGTACATAAAATATTAGCCATACAACATTTAATAATATAATAAACATGTACATACAAGAACAAAACATTTTTTTTTTTATAATGAAGATATACAATGTTGATATTGTTAAAATAATTTCTACAGAATTAGATAGAAATGTGAGATAAAGTGACTCTTACTGTAAATATTTTTTTTTAAAATCATTTACACCATTTCTCTTTTCATATTATCAAATTACAAATATAATTATTCTAAATCCCACATATTGTTGTGTTATAGCTTAAAAATACTACCTTTAAAAATAGATTGAAAATAAAGCAAAATTGAAGCCACAAAAAATTCTAAAGTCAATAAATTAAATTTTGACTTAAAAAGAACTTATGTGAAATATATATCATAACACTATTATATACTTTTTTCTCTAAGTGCCGTTTTAACCAAGTGCCGTTTTCACTAAGTGCCGTTTTAACCAAGTGCCGTTTTCACTAAGTGCCGTTTTAACCAAGTGCCGTTTTCACTAAGTGCCGTTTTAACCAAGTGCCGTTTTTAAGGTGCCGTTTTCAAAAGGTGCCATTTTCACTAGGTGCCGTTCTAACCATAATTCGTTCAGTCTTTGTACTGAAATGTGTCTTTAGCAGAAAACGTTTTTTTCCCAGAATTTTTCATTTTAATTGTATCTCTCATAGAATTCTTAAAAACAAAAAAGAAAAGAAACTTTGATTGAATTAACCTGATCATTTAACGAGGCTCGATCTAGTTGAAAATTACGAAAACGGAATGATAAAAAATTTTAATTCTTGGAAATATACTTGTATGTTTTATGCTTAGAAAAATTAGTGAAATTTTGTTACCTTGCCTTTATTGTAGTGAAATGGGGGCATGTAGATATGGACCATTTGTCGTGTTTTTATACACAAAATTAAATCAATACAAAGAAATTTACAAATAAAAAAAAAGTCGTGATGAAATTCTTTGTTTTTCACATATATCATGCAATTTTCATTCTTCTTATAAAAAATGAAAAGAAAATTTGGAGGTAGCCTTTATTGCAGTGAAAAGGGGGCATGTCAAAACACAAAATTTGGATTTATTGATTCCAACTACGTATTTTATATGTCGCAATGGGTTTACATAACACCAACAAAAGATTGTGATACTGTATTAGTTTCCAAAAAATAAATTATTCCTACATCATGAAATAATTTTCTCACCATGCTTTATTTTTCTCTAACACGCAACGTTGTTTTACGTGGAAAAAGGGGTAGAGGGATCGACAAAATTGCGATTTTCACTAATATCATGTAATATATAGAAAAATAAAATATTTCGGGGGTTCAATTTAAATGATTTATAGACTTATTTTGTTTTTTAAAACTGAAGATAATCCATGCATGTTTAAGTCCGCAATAAAAAGAGTGTGTATAAACACTTCAACATGTTCAGAGAGAAAGACTAAAAATGGTTTACTTTTAGTTGCAGTGTTTGTTTTTTTAAACTCACAAATTGAAATAAAACAGGATAAAATTAATGAAACTGAACCAAAAAATTGATTCCTCAAAATAAATTAGGTTCCAAAGTTGTTTATTAATTTAAATATTTTTAAAAATAATAGAAATGCCAGTTTTCAATGCATAGTCTAGAGCTACCAGGTAAGCAAAACTATTTTTTTAGCGCAATTTGACGTCATTTTAATTGTGACGTTATTATGTTCAATTGTGACGGCAGTCAAGGGTATTGTGACGTGCCTGAATCGATGCTGCGTTAAAACGTATGCGCAAATCAAGTAGATCGGGCCTCGTTAAGTAGAACTGTTAATTAATCTTGATTTATTATATTGGTAACCTTTGTTGAATCTGTTGATATCAGGAACATATATATTTGAAAAGAATACATTTAGCTGTGATCAGTTCTATTTATGTTGGAATATGTCTATTTTCAGAACTGTGCATTGCAGTATGCAGACCTTCTTGAGAAAGTGGAAACACCTAAGTATGTTGGACATTCCTGAGCAGAAAGATTAATGTTATCTGATTTTATTATACCTTTACTGATTTTTTCCTTAAAAATAATTCTATAGAAATCACATCATATGGTTCTTGGAATTAAGTATTCTGTAAATTAGACATACAAACAGTGGTCTCGAGTGAGAGTATGTAATGAACTAACCTCTTTGTCTCTTTTACTTCAGGAGGAAAGGCAGGGATCGCGGTGAGGTGGAGACACCGAGTCTACAGATAATGAGAAAACTTACCATAGAGAGGATAGAGGAACTGAAGAAAACAGTGATGGAACAGGAACAAAAATACAAGTCAGAAATCCTATCTGTAAAGTTTTGACTTTGTCTTTTTTCAGATTTTTATGTAACTGTAATTGCAAATTTGTTTTGATTTTTCCCCACAGGAAATTAAAGAAAGAAGTGGAAATGATCAAATCAGGACAATGGGATGACAGACTGCCTAATATTTACCAACAGATGCTCAGGTTTGTGGAATATGTAGAAATAAAATGAGATGGGTGTCACTTCTGAGGAATCATTCAAATTAAGATAATGACAAATAAGTGAATACATTTATGAAATGAAATGAAGAATTTGGTAGTAATGTACTGATGGGATGCTAATGCATATATTTTGTTGTTTTTTTTTCATAATATAGATTCCATGAAAGAGTAGACAAGCATTTTAATGGACAAAACACATTTATAAAGCAAACAAAGAGTCAGTGGTTATTTTACAAACTGTTACATTTTCAGTGAGAAGAAGGAAGCTGAGGAGGCGGCAAGACAAGCCGAGATGTTAGCGACTGAGACGTCAGCGACTGAATCTGCCCAAGCCTCCACCGCAGAAAGTTTGTCCTCCATTATTCTACTTTCTCCTTATAATTTTTTTTCATTCTACACAAAAAAAGCAAATTTTTAATGATTTTTTAAAAAATATTTTGTATACTTGTTATTTAGACGTATGATGTTTACCACTTTATTCCAAAGAAGAGATACTTCAGCATTTATTGAAGATTTTCTTGGTTGTGATTAATAGATAATTATTTTGTAAACTTCTATTTTTGTATCTATACCTGTTGTAAGTTATATCTTATACTTTCAACATTCATAATACCTGTGTGATACGAAGCTCGGCAGAGTTCTTAAGGCTCTCTTTTTAAAGAAAGCTTAGATAAATTAATAACCAAGCACACAGGATTCCCATCTTGCTGAGCAGTGGATGTAAACGAAGTTTAAAGTTGATTGATAACAAAATCAGTATCTACCTGTAATTGTGTTTCACTGTTATATTGAAGGAAGAAAATAGATTTGCAAGAACACTGAGAGCAAATTAATTAATATAATGTTGTAGGTCAAACAGAAATGGAGACGGAGGAAAATGACCAAGAAACAGAGAATAAAGAGATTGTTGTGGAGGCTAACATCACCAATATAACAGTAAGTTTACTATAAAATGTTTTAATAGAATAAAGAAATTCAGTATTAAATCTTTAATTGCTTGTTTTGCAAAAGATTATGTATGTTATGCAATAAATATAGGATCTCACTTGATTTGTAGTTGGATATGACTTTTATCCAATGATCGAGTTGTGTGTTTTATATCCACAAAACTTGGCGAGGGGATAAAAACACACAACAAGTTGAATAAAAATCATATCTAACTACAAATCGTGAGATTCTTTTTATCCCTTCTCTTATACACCACAATCAATGTTAAACACTATTTTTCATTTAGGACTCCACTTCATTTTACTTCATCACTCTAATGCAAAACCCCTTGTGACGTCACAACTGTGGAATACGAAAACAATATCATATGAGCTATATCAAAGGGATAAAAGGTTTAACATGGGATAAATATCACCCTATATACAATATAGATGTTTTTAATACATGAAGAAATTGATATAAAAACTTCATTTTCGATGGAACAAATGGTTTGTGATTTTAGAGTGAAGAGAAAACTGCCTTAAAGGAGCCCCTTACTGTAAAGATAGAACCTGCCTCAGGGGGAGAAGAAAAACCCAAGCCTACCCCCTCCCCGACACGATTACTTACCACTCTTCTGTCCAGTAAAACGAGCAAATTGGATGATCTGAAGGAACTCAAAGAGGTAAGAATGGCAAAAAAGGTCAGAGAGGCCAGTTTTACTTGTTAATATCTTTATATCACTTTTAATAGCAGAAAATAGGGATGATGCTTTAAAAAAAATTAAAGTCTGTTATAAGCTATGTATAAAAATACAGAATCATATCCTTGATGATTTGAGTTATTATCACATTTAATGAAAGAAATTAAATTTCATATGTTTGTTATATCAAGCAAATGCTTTATTGTTTAATTAAGCTTTATGATAGTTTTGTTTTCTTTCCTAGAAAACGGAGCAGGAGCAGGCCAAGGCTGAGGCTGCCGTAGCCGCTGCTTCTACCACAGTTACCACGGTAACAGAGACGCCGGTAAAGAAAACAGAACAGGGAGAGTCGGTGGGAGCTGTATCAGCCATTGAACAGACACCATCTAGTAGTGAGTAATTGTACTTTTATATGTACATTTATTGCCGTACAAAAATTTGCTTGTTCATATCTGAACATGGCACATGGCCCCACAAATATAATTTCGAAGTTTTGTTTGCATTTAAAATTATTGAACTTATGAAATTTATCTTTTATGTCTTCATATTGAAGTCTTTCAGACACTTGCTATGGATATTTGAATGATTATTAAATTCATTGGAATAAAAGCTTGATTTAAGCAATCCTTTTATGATATTGTGACACGATATTGAAGTTTAGTTCTTAGCAATACAGAACACTTGATATGGATATTTGACTATGATTATTAAATTCAATTTAGGAGCACGTACACATAATAAATACTGATGTTTTCTTGATTAAAGCGGTATTTTCCTGAGAATGTAGAATGTCAAAATTTCTCCTTTTATGATATTAAATTAAAAAAAAAATGCAATCATTCTTCCACACGAAACAGCTGCCCCAACACTGCAATTCCAAACTCCTACATAACCGGGATTTTAAGACCCCTGAAATAAATTATGATAAATCTCCATCTACAATTATAACAACAGGTTAAATCCTCCAATTCATCCATTAAGACTAACTATCACTCGATTACGTCTACCCCGTTAAATTACAGTGGATGCGTAAACAAATCTGACCTTTACGAGAAATATATACACGATGTCCCCCGTCGGGGAACCACGACCGACACCCCCAGCAGTAGTAACACCATCCCAGTAGACGAGGGTAAGGGGACAACCTAAAATCTACTTTTAAAACCATTGCTATGGCTGTTTGCTAATCACAGCAATTAAATATATCATGTATTTACTTAGTACATATGTAGGAGACATCACAGCGTTTTTTTTCCTTATATAACCGGTACCGATAAACGGCACCGTTCCCAATGCCAAAAAACGTTAATTTTTCCCAATTCTGTGACTAAAAATTCCCAATTCAACTCTGAAGCAAAAGATTATGACGACATCGTATTTCTTGTTAAATGAAACATTGTACAATTTGACTAATTGTTTCACTTCCACTTAAACCGAAAATAGAGAAAGTCGTAATTTGGCGGGACCAGTGGTTTAGGCTGCGTAGTGTCATACATTTTGACAAATTGAAAGCATGACAATGTGAAAACAAGGGACGTTGATATAAAAAGCAATAAGTACTTGTTGTTTATTCTTTAAAACAAGCATTGTAATAGGTAATTACTGGAATAAACGCAAAATACGTTGTATTTGCAATAAGGGAAAATATATCTTTGTTTTTCTTCGATGTTTTTTTCCCCAATTGAACCGGTACCTGATCCTTTCCCATTGGGTGGAAAAAAATCGCTGCATCAGACCAATTGTCTTCATAAAAAATGCTTTTCAATTTCCCATGTTGATAAAGGATCAGTTAGAATGATACCCTGATATGTAATAGTTTATTGACCTGTTTGATTGCTCTGTTATAGAAATTGTTGAGATAGAAGAAGTGAAGGAAGAGGAAGTGGGGGAACAGGAAGTCAAAATCAAAGAGGAAGTTGTCAATGTTGATCAGGTGCTTTATTCATTGATTTTTTTATTCAGCCCACATGGCTAAAAATTTACAATATGTTTTTTATTTTCGAAATATATTTTTTCACAGTTACTGAATATTCAGTTGATATAAATAACATTTTTATTGTTTTTTGCTGCAATTACAAATAATTTGAAATGATAAAAAACTATTATAACCTATGTATTGTAACAATATTGTATGTGATAAATGAAAATTTATAGTCCATTTTATCACAATATTGAATCCTGATTTTCTTGTGGTTTGACAGGACGAGAGCCAAGAGTCCACAGACACGGGGTTTGTACAGCTGGACGAGGAAGTCTCAATAAAGGAGGAACCAATGTCCCCCGCTAGCAGTGTCTCCTCCAAAGTCAGCGAGTGTGATGTTACGAGTAGGTCAGGGAGCAGACGCAGCAGTCGAGGTGAGTGTGACATCACAAACAAGTCAGGGAGCAGACGCAGCAGTCGAGGTGAGTGTGACGTCACGAGCAGGTCACGGAGCAGGCGCAGCAGTCGAGGTGAGTGTGACGTCACGAGCAGGTCACGGAGCAGGCGCAGCAGTCGAGGTGAGTGTGACGTCACGAGCAGGTCACGGAGCAGGCGCAGCAGTCGAGGTGAGTCATGGGCAAATCAGGACAGATTTATAAGTCAAGATGAGGACAACATCACAAACAAGTCAGGCAGACCACACAGTAGTCAAGGTGAGTGTGATGTCACGAACAATTTGGGCAGCAGACCCAGTTGTCGAGGTGAGAATGGCTGACCATTTAATGATAATGTCAGCTGCTTTTAGTGGAGATATTACATATAGCATCCTATACATTCTAATTAGATAACTATCCATCATTATATATATATATATACATGTATATGCTGCAAATCTGAAGAGGCTCAGATATTGAAAAGATCTCAAACATCTTGTATACAGATTTTAAATAATTGATTATCACATTCATCAGATTAAGAATCAGCAAAAACATTTTGTTCAGGGTTTCATCTTTGTGAATTAAACAACAACAAATGTGATAATGTTATTTACTTAATTTTTTTATCAGGTCGACAGTCAGCTAGGAGAAGAGGAAGCAAGAGATCAAGGAAACCCATGGTAGCCTACCTCTATCTCTCTTATCTTAAAACATACCAATTACTGTTAATTGATTCATCACATTTTGACATGTTATAATATTTAGTGCTTTTGCAGATAATTGGCTTTTAAATCAAGAGCATTAAAATGTCATATATATTTATTCAAATAAAGCACATTTTGAATTTGCTAAATCAAATCTACACCTGACTGTTGAAAAATCGATTTCTGCTAAATAGTAATTGTACATGCCTAATAAAACACATTTAGTAACCTAAACCTGATTGTTTATTCCACTGATAAATAATGATCAGATTTTGTTGTTAGAGTGTGAAGGATGAGGACAGCAGATCAAGGTTAAGTGACGGGGACACGACAGAGGAGGAGACCGCCCGGGAGAGTGATGATATGTCTGTGTCGGGGAATATCGCGAACGTCCCCACACCATTCACCGAGTCCATTCCTAGCAGTCCCCTCTCTCACTGGTTAGCTCTTTATTTCTACCATAGATACACAAATAATGAAAAAATTCAAATACCGGTATATACATTATGCTCTGGGATAAATAACATATTGCATATCAAAGAAATAAGTACTGCATAAAGATAAATGTACTTGCCATTTTAATGGACAATTCATTGCATATTGAAATTTTTCTGCAGTCAGGTAAAAACAAAGGCAAAAGCGACACAATTCAAATGGTTAATATTATTTGTTTTAAATCTTTACCTTCGTAATTGTAGCAGTGACACAGAAGATGAGAAAGCTTACAAGAACTGGAAAAAGTCCATCATGTTGGTCTGGAGATCAGCGGCCAATCACAAGTATATTAATAAATACTAATACAATTACGAGTATAGATATATAACCATCAGCAGCCAATCACGAGTATATACTATTACATGATAGCCAGTCACAGTTCAGTTACACTGCCTAGAAGATAGTCAATAGCAACTTCATTATCATAAAATCGGCATTCTTGTAAAATAGCCCATCAATAGTATTTGCCAATATTTTGTATTTATAAAACGAGAGAAACAATTAGGTGACATTTGCAAAAACTAAGATAAAAAAATAAAACGATGTTGCTATCATTTTAAACAAAACATATGAAAAAGCAAACTTGCATATTAGGTAAGAAAATGTTGATATGTTATGCATAAATTTTGTGTAATTAGAAACTTTGAATATTTAAAAATTATAAGATTTTAAAAAAAAATATTCTCAATGTAAACATTTTTGATAAAATTCACATTTTATTCTCAATAATACTGTAGATCACTAAATTTTCACAATACCTTTTTTTCACGAGATAGTCATTGACTCTTGATTAGCAAGATTAGCATGACCAAATTTTCACCAATTTTGGTTATTGTTCTATTTAATCCTAAGGAATACTGTTATACAAGAGAATTTAAATTTCGCGAGCACACTATCTTGCGTAATAACGCAAAAATAAAGTTCTCGCAAATAAAAAGTGATTTACAGTATCTCCTCTAAAAATCACGTATGTTGACGCTAAATTTCATTTTTGTAGAGCAGCAAAAATGCTCTTATTATTTACTAGCTGTATATAAAATGTGTGATGAAAACGTAAATGATGATTATATTTTTGTTTCAGATATGCAAATGTGTTCTTGCACCCAGTGACCAATGAAATTGCTCCTGGATACACCACTATTGTTCACAGGTATGATCTTGGTTTCTTTTTGATGACATTGAACAAATTGATACTTGATGTATACATGCATATTTTATACATATATAATAGAGAATATTGTGAACAAATATTATTTGTAAAAGATAAAATTTATGTATCTCTAACTTGACAGGAGAGACAAAAATATCTGATAAATCTATTTAAGAGTTTAAGACAAGAAAATATAATTATTTGAACCGTGGTTCCTTACATTTCTGTGTTTGACACATTAGTGTGTCCTACTATTCCTATTTCTGATCCTTACATTTCTGTGTGACACATCAGTGTGTCTTACCGTTCCTATTTCAGATCCTTACATTTCTGTGTTTGACACATCAGTGTGTCTTACCGTTCCTATTTCTGATCCTTACATTTCTGTGTTTGACACATCAGTGTGTCTTACCGTTCCTATTTCTGATCCTTACATTTCTGTGTGACACATCAGTGTGTCTTACCGTTCCTATTTCAGATCCTTACATTTCTGTGTTTGACACATTAGTGTGTCCTACTATTCCTATTTCTGATCCTTACATTTCTGTGTGACACATCAGTGTGTCTTACCGTTCCTATTTCAGATCCTTACATTTCTGTGTTTGACACATTAGTGTGTCCTACTATTCCTGTTTCTGATCCTTACATTTCTGTGTTTGACACATCAGTGTGTCTTACCGTTCCTATTTCTGATCCTTACATTTCTGTGTTTGACACATCAGTGTGTCTTACCGTTCCTATTTCTGATCCTTACATTTCTGTGTTTGACACATTAGTGTGTCCTACTATTCCTATTTCTGATCCTTACATCTCTGTGTTTGACACATCAGTGAGTCTTACTATTCCTATTTCTGATCCTTCAGGAGAATGGATCTGAGTCAGATTAAGAAGAACATCGAGAGCGGCGTGATTCGTACGACGGCGGAGTTCCAGCGAGACATGATGCTGATGTTTACTAACGCCATCATGTACAACAACTGTAACCACAGGGTCCACAAAATGGCCGTCGAAATGTACAATGACGTTCTCCAGCACATTGAGGTTTTTCTTTTAGATATATTTTACATACATAATAGAATATTCAAAGCCTTTCTTCTTTTGTAAGTTTCTATTTCTCCATTAAGGAGAACCTCAATGTCTCTGTGTAGGTTGAGCTTTTTCTTAAGTCTCTACCAACAGTGCTATTGAAATTTGCCAAAAGTTCACAACCCTCAAGATGAAATTTAAACTTGATTTATTCAGTCTGTGGGTAATTGGATGATACAGTGGATTAAAGGAAATAGGATATAAGATATCATGGAAAAGTATTCTTTATTTTTGTAGTATTGTTTGAAATCTGATGTTTTATGACAGAATACACTTTGTACCCAATCTCTGTGTTTTTTAGCAATATGTGAGTACTCAGCTGATGGTCCAGAATGCGGACACCAAGTTACTGAGGGGCTCCAGACGGGTGGACACCAGTGATAAGGTATGGTATAATTCTCAGATTACACTGTACCTGTAATTACCACTTATTATTATTATTATGAATGGCAGAAGGGATCAGAAGAAACTACATATGTTAGGAGGTAAAAGTCTTAAGCAAATGTACATTCCTTCAAAGAAATTCGAAATACCGTATATTAAGCAGAATTTTTAGTGAGGATTAAATTTTGGCATTAAGAGCGAGGGTGATGAGATCAGTAAAATTGAATATCGCTAAAAATTAATTGCATTTTAGTTATTATGGCTTCTTTAGCGAGCTTAATATCGCTAAAATTACTTCTCACTAAAAATAGTCATTTTTAAGGACAAATCGCTAAATTTTAGTCTCGTTAAGATTTCTACTTATACGGTAGCTGAAAAAAAAGAAACAAATAATGATATGAATGTAAATTTTCAGTCGACTACATAGCATGACATATGGAAATCGGGATCACTTTGTCTGTTTGTCTAGCAGACATCACACTTTCACATGAAAGACCAAGAGCTCTTTTACTTCACAAACATGCTATGAACTAAGGTTTTATTATGAATTGAATTTTATGTACAAATACTTTTTGAAAAAGTTAGTTCAATTTATCAAATTTTGAGATCTTTAAAAATTTAAAAATAAAATTTGTTTTATTTAGGAAGAGGAGAGCAAAAGAAGACGTACCTCCTCAGAGCAACATGGCGAGGGAGGGAAAACCAAGAAACGAAAAACGAGAGCAGACGACACGTAAACAGCAATGTACTGAAACATAAACAAAGCACAACTGATTCAACAACAAGGCACAACTTATGAAACTAAAGCAGACTATACAGAAACAAGGGAGGACTGATTCATAAGCAATTTGCACAACTGATAAACCTTTGTCAACTTATTATGATGTAACGAGGGATTAAGATGGCATTTCTTACTCTGTGAAGATGTTCATATCATTTATGTTAAATGTTGTAGTATAAACATTGAAATAAACAATTGTCAGAAACAAAACATTTTTGACTTTTATGTTAAAGATGAAGTGGTTAGCTAGAATCAGTCAGTTACCTCAGTGTAAGGAAACAATGGTCAGGTAGAACCAGTTTGTTTATCTTAGTAATTAGTATGGAAAGCTGAAAAGTAACTTCAAGTCATGTTTATTTTCTGTTTTTAGAGTATATACATCTGTGTAATACAGACTAAATGTTGCTGAAAAGCTACTTCTCTAAGTGCTATCAACATCTGTCAAACCAAAAGGAATACCCTTATCTCTGTTGTTTAAAATTGTCTGCGCATCCACTGTACGGTAGATATTAAGGGTGAATTTTAAGAATTGTTCAAAAGTCTGAGCAACTTGAATTTATTAACATTTCAGTACCTCTGTAGACTGAAAACATCCATGCATTAAAATAATAAATGACTTATTTGTTTAAAGTAAACATACTACGTCAGAATTATTTTCCTTTAGTTTTTAATGATGAAAAAAATCTTTTTGGGAAAAGTAGCATTTGCCAAGAAAACGGAAAATAAATTAATTAAGAATAAAATTAAAAGGAAATTATCTTTCAGGTTCGACGAAATATACACTTTCAAGTTTAAAGTCAGCATTTCATAACTTCTATGGTTGGAACAATAAAATAACATATCACTGTGTCCTATTTTTGCTGAGTTGTTTGATACCAATTGTTAGGCTTTCTTTTTGTACTTAGAATTTGTCTACTGAATGGTCTGTCTGCCTGATCAATACACAAGGCGCACGGTAGGTGTGATTGGTCAAAAGCCTTTTAAAGGGGATGCCTATTCCTCCAAGGCACCTGATCCCAACTATGGAATTTCCAGAGGTCCGTGTTTTGGCACATTCACATAGTGTTTACATGCTTTATATTTTTTTTTTAGATTGCCCACTTCTCGTTTTCTCAAGCTATTTTCATTTCAACCTTCACAATTTGCAACATTAATTTAATATGAAGCATCCTGTTTGTTTCACACAAAAATTGGTGATCAAATATCAAGATTAATAAATGCAATAGAGATAAATGTAAAAGGAAATAGAAACGTATCAAATTAATTTCTCCCTGTGGATAGAAGTAACACCAATGCCAGTATCTCAGAAATATGTTTATTTTTATGCGTAATTTTCATATTTTCGGTAAACGACAATTATTTGTATGATAACAAAAAAAAAATACTGACAGCGAGATGGGCATTGTGTGCTTCAACTTTTTGTAACCCAATGAAAAGATCAATAGTTTGCATGTATCTTCAGCTTATTCTCAAGTTTTCTTGTTTACAGCTTCTAGTCGCCAAAACTTTACTACAAATAGCTTCTTGTACATCTTTATGTTTTACATTCGCTTAGGATAAAACATTTTCTGTGTAATTTTTCCATCTTAATAGGTTTTAAAATCCATTTTCACCGGTTTAACTCCCATAACACCCTGTTACCAATATCAACGAAATATCAACTCTTAAGACTATAAAAATAAAGAGTTGCTTTGGGAAATGTCTATTTCATGATGTTTCTAAAGCAGAGATTACCGAGGAGGAAATCTTTAATCTTTTTCAGAAACATTTCAGATATTTTTATGAATTTCATTAATCAGAGTTCCTAAAGTACAAATTATTTTTAAGATAGACATTAAAATACGAAAAACCTGCTCTACATATGTCTATATATATATTCCTTCTTGTTTACAGTATCTAACAAGTCATGTGGAACACTGCAGAGTGGGGGGGGGGGAGAAAATCTCTGGTCCCTTAGGACCCACATATTTACACCGGAAAATTTCAGTCTTCGAAATGGAAAGGGCACTGTAGCCTTACTTTTTTTTATCGACATGGGAAGCTTACTCCATATCCAAGGTTGTTTGAATGGTGCATGTATTGAGGTATTTGGAAAGGTGTGTATTGATTGCAAAAATTCCGTAATATGGTCTAATGCCTAATGACATCATGCAGAAGTACTGTTAAAACAAAAAACATCAATGCAGTTTATCGGTTTTAAAATTCGAGAGGTGATTGCATAGGTTCGTCAAAAACTCAATATTTTTTGTAATGATTTTTCTCATGGGAGTTTTATTTGCTCTTGGAATAATAAAAAAAAGGATAAATAATACAATAATGTGAACTCTTAGAGAGAACATCACCAATCGTTCAATAACCATTGGGAATAAGTACGCTAGTCAAAAGAGTGTGAAATCGCTGTTTGTTAAGTGCAACAACACAATACAGTGAAGTAGAGCTGATAAAATGAAATTAAAGGTGAGGAAAACAAAAGTGATCAATATAAAAAAAAACCTACAAACAATTCAGATCTGTGAACGTATCGTAACAGTTCATAAAAAACGAACCCTGAAAATCCAAGAGATGGGATAAGTTGCCTAGGTGGAGTAATCATCTTCCCTCTGCTTCTGAACATGGATTGGTCAGGAAGACGAGATACCTCGTGATCAAGTAAGGTATAAAAGGAAAGGGGCTAAGACAATGAACAGTGACCAAACTAAAACAATCTGTAAATAATAGCAATCTGAGAGCGGGACATCAAACACGGATCCCCCGGAAGTTCCAGAGGTGGGATCAGGTGTCTAGAGGAGTAAGCTCCCCTTGTTGACCCGTCACATCAGTTGTGAGTTCTCTGTATTATTCAGAAAGATGGAACATTAGATGTTTTCAAATTTAGTTTCAAAAACAAAGGCCTAACAATGAAACACATCAGCTCTAAAAAGAAGTGAATGATAGGTTATACATGTGTATTTGCTAACAATGTCATTAAAACGACCATAAAATTTACGAAATCACTAGGGTCTTTCTAGTTGTCCAGATACAAGACAGATTTAGAGCTCCAAACTTTTGTTATGTAAACAAGGCTAGTGTCATGTTTTTGTTTACACAGGTTAATATACTAATATATGTTCGTTCAAAGTAGATAATTTCAAATGAAAGTTAATTTTAAATACGATTCGACAGTTACTATTGTTTTGCTGAACTTCATTTTGTTATAAATATGATATTTTCTATATGTAAACAAAAACAAGACACAAGCCTTTTTTACATTTATGAAAAACTTAAAGTTCTGTATCTTGTTTATTAACCAACGAATGATGTTCAAATTTTTGCTAATCAATAGATGGTGCCTTAGGTAGGAATTGTAAACATTAAAATTGGTTCTAAAAAATCAGTTTAAACTGTGTCCAGGCCCCTTTAAATAAGATCGTTTTAATCCCCGTAACCTCAGCTTATCTGTTAATAGCCTGCCGCGTTTAAAAAAATGATCATACTTGGTGCATGCTCCTGTGTGTCGAATTGGCAAGATTTCAATATATAAAAGGAAAGTTTACGATGGAAAAACTGATCAATTTACTACATGTAGTAATTGACACCAAATTTAGTTTTTAGGTGGCTTTTTATGGTCAAAAGTCAGAAAAGCATCCAAATATTAAATAATTTGGCAAGATCTTTTATTTCAAGTTCATTGGGAAATATCGAATCGGCAAATTAATGGAATTAACTACTCTTAATTGATTAAACGTCGAAAATTTATCTGAATGTTGAGTTGGGAGCCAAGAGCTTGTCTTATCAAAATGGCAGAATTCATTTGTGGTCTACTGTAAATAAGATTGTTGTTTTTCCAAGAGAGTTTTTCTTTTATTTTCATCTTGACATTTGATAATACAGGGGACAGTTTTGTTATGTACTTTCTATATTTCGACACTCTCGGTTAAAGATGGAATATCCAGGCACTCATGAGTAACCATTTTTCATGAATGATAAAATTGAGGCTTGACTAACAGTGTGTTGAATTTTCAGTGCGTTGTGCCTGGCACAAGAATCTACAGGTCCTAAATTTTATGGTTCTTTGTCTCATTTTCGTCAATGGATTGACTAATCTCATATCTGTAGTAGTGAGAATGTATCTTTTTGATCAACTGTTCTAGGAGTGAGGGGTAACCCTAAGGATGTGGACAACATTAACAAGTTTATTATTTTTCAGAATGTCATTCTCAAAAAATGTAATTAGCGTGACTCTTAGGAATGCTGAGATGACTTTCTAGAACCTAACAAAGCTTTGGGGCAGTGTTATTCTTGGATCTTAATTACCTTATATCGATTAGATTTTATTGAATTGTCTCAGTCATGTCTCGACTGCTAAATCATGTATTTATTTATATATACGTTTCATAACTTCTATCTTCTCTTAGTAAGCGTGAGGATTTGGAAAAATAATTATTCAATTAATAGAGCCACTTTTAGCCCTCCATTCCGTTGACAACGAATAGAATACTGTATCAGGAAAAAAAAAAACTAGACACTGCAATTTTGTGTGAATGTGATGATACATTATCAATACCCCTAGACGTGGGCAAAGTAATCGACAGCTGTTTTGGCAAATATACATGACGTTTAAATTGATTCAAATTTGTCCAAAATCTTATACGTGAAAAGAAGAAAACATTTGCTGTGGCCTTCAATTTGACATTTCGATATATTGACGACGGATTGTCAATTAACAATTTTTATTTCCATTCTTATGTCGATTCGATATATCCCGGTGAGCTTGAGGTACAGTGTAAAAGATACCACAGAGTCTGACACATCTGTTTCATATTTGAATATTTTACTTGAAAAAGAGGTTAATAATCTAACAACCAAGCTCGTGATGACTTTAACCTTTCAATCGTCAACTTCCCTTACTTATATAGCAATATACCTTCATCACCTGCATACGGAATATATCTCTCTCAGTTTATTTGATACGCAAGAGTATGCTCTACGTATGTACAATTTCTAAAACGAGGTAAACTATTGGCAAACAAGTTCAGGAAACAAGAATATCGGCAGTTTCGTTTAAAGTCATCATTTTGTACATTCTATGGTCGATAAAATGGCCTTGTCAGCAAATACAATTTGTTATTGAGTCAAATGCTGAATGACGTTTTTCATACTAATTGTTAGTCCATTATTTATACACTGAATTGACGACGGATTTTTCCGTTATTTCCCAATCATGACAAGGAGCACACGGCGGGTGTGACCGGTCGGCAGGGGGCAGGGGCCCCTCCATGGCACCTGATCCCACCTCTGATATTTAGGAGGTACGTGTTCGCTCTGCTTCTATTTTGTTTTGTTTTATGGACCTTTGATCTTGAATACTTTTTTGTAATCTCCATATGTTTCATTTAGCTGAATTCAGCATTACATAAATTCGTTTTTTGTCATAATGACCTTGTACAAAAAATAATCGGTCATTTTGCTGACTTTTTTCAAACCATTTCATACTAAATAAAGAGATGATCATGTAAAATATATAAGTATAGGGAACCCCATCCTTCAACTGGCGTCGAAATTTTATAAATATTATGAATTCTATAGAAGATTACACCAGGCGGTGGGCCAGATATGAAAAAGAAGTCGTTCACACGTTGTCAGAATGAATTAAATGAATCAGGTCTGTGTTACAATTGAGTATTAATAAGTTGAGAGGCAATATGGAAACCATCCATCCTTCTGTGTTAAATAATGAAGGAGTGAAAAGAAAGAATTTTAGACGGATTAAATGATCACTACGTACTGGTCCCTGCTTACAAAGCAGGTAACAGCATTGTCTTCATTTATAAGGCTCATTTATTTATTGTATTTTAAAAGAACTTGGATTTAATTCTACAAGTGGTAATCCTACTTATGCTCGTAGTTCCCTTTCTAAGGAAGAAATTCTTCAAAATCATATGCCACCTTTGATTATTTTTAATATCACAAACAACCCTAATGAATTTGAATTACCATATCTATATTGGATTCCGAAACTTCAATAAAAATCCTTACAAACAAAGTTACATAGCGGGTTCAAGTAAATATTCAAGCAGACCTCTGTCTTTCCTCCTCACTAAGATATCAACAGTAGTGAAAGAGAAACTTCATGAGTACTGTGCAACAATATTTTCAAGAAGTGGTGTAAATCAGATGTGGATATTAAAACTTCCAAGGAACATTTGGAAAATTTGAAATCACAAGATTTTACCAAAATCAACAGCTACTTACTTATAACTTTTCAACTTTATACTCATCCATTCCCACAATAAATTGAACTCCAGGCTTTTTGATATTATTGACAGCTGCTTTTTCCATTAAATGAAACTCGTAGATTAACCTATCTTATAATTGGTTATTTGCAAAATTATTTTGTTTAAAAAACATTCTGATTGTACTTACAAGTACTCAGAAGTTGACATAAAAAGATCTTGTGTTTCTGGTTGACACTATCTATTTCGTTTTTGGAGACCAGGTCATCCAACAATCAATTGAAATTCCCATGGGTACCAATTGCGCCCAGTTATTAGCAGACCTATTTTTTGTATTCATATGAAACAGAACTTGTCCAATATCTTATATGTGAAAAGAAGAAATCACTTGCTGTGGCCTTTAACTCGACATTTAGATACACTGTCAATTAACAATGGTGAGCTTGAGATAAAAGATACCACAGAGTCTGACACATCTGTTTCATCTTTGGATATTTTACTTGAAAAAGACGTTAATTATATTATAATAATCAAACCCTATGATAAACGTGATGACTTTAACCTTTCAATCGTCAATTTCCCTTACTTATACAGCAATGTACCTTCATCACCTGCATACGGGGTTTAGATCTCGCAGTTGATTTTTCGATGCGCAAGAGCATGCTCTACGTATGTACAATTTTTAAAACGAGGTAAACTATTGATAAACAAGTTGATGAAACAGCAATATCAGCAATCTTGTTTAAGTCATCATTTCGTAAGTTCTTTGGTCGATACAATGACCTTGTCAGCAAATACATTGTACAAATTATCATTGTGTCAAATGCTGACAGACGTTTTTCATACAAATTGTAAACCCATTATTTACACACTGAATTGACGACGGATTTTTCCGTTGTTTTCCAATAATGACAAGCAGCATACGGCGGCTGTTACTGTTTGGCAGGGGATACTTACTCCACCATATCACCTGATCCAACCTCTGGTGTTTTGGAAGTCCGTATTTGCTCTGCTCCTAGTTTGTATTGTTTATTGGACTTTTGAGCTTGGATACTATTCGTTATCTCCATATATTTCATTATAGACCTATATAAATAACTTGACAATATCCAGTCTGCCTTTATCATATAAAGATCTCACGGTGGATGTGTTTGATGTTATATTAACTAAGGAATATACGTCGGTCCGTGTTTTATGGACTGTTTACATATTAGTATCGTTTATAGATTTCTTTTTACCGATCGGTCAAAATGCTACCTTCATCCTTTTCATTAACTGTATTCAGTAGTAGGTATGTTTTTTTAGACATCAAAGTTTTTATTGAAGTCTGCAAATTGAATAATAAGCTTAATCAAGGCTTTATTTCTTCCAAAGAAAGTCAAATCGAGATATACACAATGAAAAAATAGATAATCAAATCTATGGAGAGAATTTTTTAGAAACATGAGAGGGGAAACAACACTTAAATCATATCATAATTTGATCGTTAATACCCAAATTAACATTTTAAAACTCATAAATACTGTATCCATTTCAACTGCATGATATAATCTACTTTTTCTGCACGATGAATTGCAACGTAAAATTATCCCAAAATAATCATTTTTTTATTATCTTAATTGGAGAAATATTACATCATCAATTAGATTTCTTTGTAAAAAGAAACGGTTTTCAAATAAGTGTAAAAAAGATTCCTTCCAACAAATTCAAGTAAACAAGCATATGCGTGTATAGAATTATGGAAAAAGACAGATCTATTGTTCAAAGAAACAACATGATATTACTAGTTCTTTAATTTCACCTTGTCAACTACAGAGACCTATAAAGCCAGACCCGTCCCTAGGAGTTTTCTGTAAATGACGCCATCTTTTGTCTTGAAGATGACAACCAGCTACGAAGGATTCTACCTCAGTCAATATATGTCACTTAAACTGACATGTTTTCTGGAGATTTTTCTGACATCTGTCTTGGGGTTGTCCGCAATGATCTAATTATTAACATTTACACGTCGTTATTTTCATCTTGACTCTCTTGTTAAAAAGATTGAAGTGAATACTTTTTTTAAATAAAAATGAAATTATTAGTTTAACATTGTCATCGTTCATTTGTAAAATTAATTTATTTAAAACATACTGAATGTACACTTACATAAAAGTACGCTGAAGTTTGATATTAAAAAGATGTTTGGGTTTCTGATTGACGATTTCTCTGTAGATTTTGGAGACCAAGTCCTATCAGTTTTTCCCCTTTATATAGATTTACATGTATTTTGCTCATAATTTTAAAGGTCGATCAGTGCTCGTTTTCTTCACCTTTTTGATTGACTCTATTAGCTTTATTTGCTTATTGAAGTTCCATTTCTATTTACCCCACAAAAGCGACTTCACTTTTCTATGTGTCTGACTTTGGACACCAGAACTGCAAATTGGCATTTAATATGATTGAATCACTCTTTACCTCTTTTCGAAACTGTTTTTTGCATTTATTAACAGGAAATCTAAAACAAAACATCATTAATCTCTTAGTATTTCGAGTAGGATTAATTTTCAAAGTGATGCATACTACTCACAGGTATAAGTTGATGTCACAGTGATTCCAACAACCCTTTTTAAACCCATGTCAAGAGATATTTCAACTGACTAAAAATACTACGTATTTGAAGGTTGCATCTTGTGATCATACCATTTCTTACTTAATTTCAGCATGTTTAATTAAAAGAGGTTCCTTTTTTTTTTGCTTGTTTGTTTAACGCCCTTTCGAGAATTTTCATTCATATTTACAATTTACTAGTAGCCACCAACACATTGGTGGGTGGAGGGATGCAAATTAAAACCTTCAGTACACTCTTACTGCCCCAGTGAGGATTCTTCGTCTTACATTGCCGGAACCTAAATACTGCGATGTGAGACCTTCAAATACACGGTCTCATTCGAAGCACTGGGCCACAGTCCCGCACTGGGATTAGAACCCGCGACGTAAAGAACAACTCCTGAATTTGCGACGTTGAAGCAAACGCTATAACTAATGGTTCTTGAAGTATTCTTTCAAAACCTCTTCTTTTTATAGGAGAATTCGCATTTTTTTGTTTTAGCTTAAGATAAATTAGAAATAAAATTCCTATTGGTACATATTTTGATCAAAAATAAAATTAGACGTTATGACAGAAATAATTACTAACTAGGAAATACATCTCATAAATCTTTGTAAAAAATCATTTTATTCAGTGCCTGACCATATAATGGAATCATAACAAAGGATAAAGTAATAGTTCTATAGCAGACAAATGGCATTTCCTCCCAGACAGTTGTTAAATCGGGGTTTTTATCTGGTTTGTTACACGACTGACGAGGCGGCTCTCACTTTTAATCTCGTACATTCTGTGCGGGCCATTTAGCAGCCTGTGAACAAGGATCGATAGCGCTGTTCACAGCATCCAACCTGTTTGTGTCAAAGACGTGTATTAACTGCCTCAATTACTAAAATAAAACATCTATATATAGGTGCTGTTGCTATTTTTGATTATTTTGAATCAGGGTTGGCGATTAAAAAGTGTTTGTCCTTTATGAATATTGTTTGGCTTTAAGTGCTCTTTGAAGGACTGGGGTAAATTTTGATCAACGAACACAAAAGTAATTTCCACATCCTAATACTATAACGCACAGTTTGGTACTTCCCAACAACAATGAACGGACTCCACTCATTCGGTAAACTTTATGATCTTAAAAAAACTTTTTTAATCTTTTCCGATAAAATCTTTATCAAACCCTATTTGGTATCCGAAATAAAATCTTTTGTTGTTAACTTTAGTGTCCACTCAATTGATCTCGTCCAAATGTATCCGGATCACTTCAATTGTTCTCAACGACAGGGGCTCCCTGAAGTGCTCTCCTTATATTGTACCATTCTGAATTATAAGTGTTCTATAACATGCATAAGTTCCTCTCAGAATCTGGACCAAGTCTCTCATTCTGAATCGTAAGTGTTTAGTCAGACAGTCTCATCATATTGTATTTGGATGAAAGCTCCAATTTGTTTGGAACTATGACAGTCCCATAAGTTGCTCTCAGAATCTATCTTTCTGAATCATAAGTGTTTATTCAGACGGTCTCATTATATTGTTTCCGGATTAAAACTTCTGTATTGAACTACAAGTGTTCCATAAGATGTTCTTGTTAAACAGTATCCGGACCAGATCTACTCTTCTGAATCATGTGTCCCATCAACTGATCTCGTCAAATGTATCCGGGTTGCATCTATTGTTCCTTAACATAGGAGAATCCCCAAGCGTTCTCGTTGTCATAAATCCGAATGCAATTTATTCTTCTGAATTATCCCCTCAATTGGTCTGGTTATAATGTATCCGGACCAAATATATCCTTCTGAACTGTAAGTGTTGCCTCTGTTGTCCTGAATGTAGAAACCGGAACCGTGATCTGCCGGAAATGAGTAAACAAGTATAAATAAATAGAATTATAATATTTGATTACCGATTTTTTTCAACGCCTTTTTGGTCAAATTCATTAGAGGTAAAAAGGTAAAAACATTTAAAAAAAATTGGTATCAATGTCGTTGTTCAAAACTTACAGCCGTGTAGATGAAGAAGTAAAAATAAGAATTTGCGATAAAAAGCATGTTTGGTTCATGGTGTAATAGTTCATGCGTTATAAATCACAATTTGAGCCAAAACTTCAAAAATCTTGTCCATGTAAAACGTGTAAATAAGCGTTAGTTTCCTCCAATAATTTAAAGTTATAACACATACGAGTATTTACTGTATTTCCCAAGATACAGAGTGAGAAGAGATGTCTTCTCGTTTGTTATTTACGACCGTTAATGCTAATTTTAATGTTCGCAAATTACTAGAAAAACAGCAGAGGTGGTAAAACAGACATTGGCGACCGTTAAACAGCACTCACGATCGCAAGCAAAGGCATCAATTCCCATTGTAATTAAATTTATTGGTTGTGAAAACTTGTTTTGTACGTTAAGTCCTATTTAGCCGGGTTTTGCTTTCGTGCTGTAATAAATATGCCGAAGAACGACTGTGCTTGAAATTGTCTTAATCTTAAGAAGGTATTTCTTTTTCCCTCAGAAAATTTACGAAAGAAATAATTTTTAATATAGCTACAAAAAGGGATAAAATTCATGGAAAAACAAACGAATTGAAATACTACCTTTTTAGATTTCCTTTTCCTGCCAAGTTTGAAATAACCTTTGAGTCTGTCTTTTGTGGATTCTGACATTTTCCAAGATGCAAATAAGATTGGGTTAACGCAAGTTGATAGGAAACCAAACCACGTGAAAGTTATGTACGTAAGATCAAAATGACCAGTGTTGTTGCCGCTCTCATGAACAAAAAATTGAACTAAAATCAAAATATTCAGTGGACACCAACAAACAGCAAACAGGGTGATCATGGAAATGACATATCTGTGAGTTCGTTTCTCTGTTGGAAGGTCAAGATCATCTTCACTGCAGGTGTGTTCAGACTGCGTGGTATGACGTAAGTTTGAGTCTTCTGATCCAATTCTGGAAGTCTCGTCATCATTGAGAGTTAAACGAGATGAACAAGTCATGTTATTAGAATTTGTTTCGAAATGTATAGATATGGAGGTTGTTTCTAATGACTTTAGCTCTGCAGAAACTTTAAGGAACAGAAACCCAATCGTGGCAAGAGGCATGGCGTACAACGTTATGAACATAGCTCTGATGTATTCTTCAATATGCCGTTCTTGGTTTATGTAACAAATACCAACACCAAAGAAGCGGTATCCCAAAATGGCACCCAAGTCGATGTACTTGATATAGACAGCATAGGGGAGTACAATACATACTGACACTACCCAAACACCTATAATACAAAGACCAGCAGGTAAGCGAGACCGAAAGGGGTTAACTATCAACCGATATCGATCTATTGCAATCATAAAATAAGTTAACATTGAAGAATGAATGGGGAAGCATTGCAACATGGGTAAAAAGAAACACATGAAGCTTCCAAAAATCCAATTATGTATCAATAAATTGGCAAGGGACACTGGAAGAACAAATATACATTTCAGGATGTCAGAGAAGGCAATATTCCCCAGGAAGAGAAACGTCTGGTCTCTATACAGTCTTCTCTTCCCAATCACTATCAGTATCGCAAGGTTTCCACAGAAGCCAAATATGCCAACGAGAGCATGAAGAAACATAAATAACGGATACACGTAACGGAGGGAGCGCCGAACATGAGGCTGGGTGAAATCGACATCGTTTGTGCTATTTTTGTCTTCTATGTACTTAAAGACGAGTTCTAAAAAGGCCCGGTCTCCATGTTCAACGAGCGACATCACAGCCCAGTATTTTCTCTCTCTTAGAATCAAGTATCCCAGGGTAGGAAGGACGAGCACTGTCAGAGCCCAGTATTCAAGTATAGGAAATTAGCTCCCTGTCATAGAGTTCTGAGACGATAAAGGATCAGCCCGGAATCCGATGGAAGAAAATTAGCTTACTATTACAGTCCGGTATCGAAGGAAAGAAGGATAGGAAATTATTTCTCTGTTATAACCCGGTATTCGAGGGTAGAAAATGAGCTTACTATCACAGCCTGATATGGCAAGGCACGATGTGGCGATCTGTTACAGTCTTGTCTCTTATCCTGAATGGTAAGAAACTGGTGCTTTGTTACAGTCGAGTATTCTATTTATAGATAGATAGAATATAGTTACAGCTGATGTCCAATTCTTAAGGAATTCATTCTCTACTACCGTCCATTGTCCTTAAGGCTTCATTTAGGTCTTTTGTCACTGCAAAATAAAATTATAACAATTAACGGAACAAATATTTATAACTTGCAATAAATTAGGTTTTCTTTCAAAACCAAGCATGTAACTTAAGGACATACGCAACGTAGTTTGAACATTTTTGCCTTTTTCCATGGAGTTGAAGAGTTCCCATTCTTGAAGGAACTGTGTTCTGTATTTGAATTTCTATATATGGTGTTGTACACTTCTTCTAAAATAATTTTAGATAAAAGAAACATTTAGAATATACGTTTAGTATATTTATATATTTTCTTTGAATCATCCAAGAATTTTCATCAATTGATATTTTTCACAAACCTCTGGTAACGCCTGCTGATTTTTTTGTCTATGAACATCTGATGATACTATAATCTCAAATTAAGAATATCTTTAAAAATTATCAGTAGGTAAGGTACGTTGCGTATGTCCTTATGGTAATCATTTTATTCATTATCAATAATATCACAGCTTTTAGTATTTTTTCGATGGAAACTGAAGAATAGACAATATAAACACAATATGACATCTTGTATCAGAGATCTTTTAGATAGCTTGAAAAGTATATTTTTATTTCGTAGATTATTAATGGCCAGATTATTAATATCAAGCAAAATTAGCACTCTCTTCACAAATATATCTAGTGATAATCTTCATTCTTTTCTCCACAATATAATTTATCTATATTTGTGGACAACTCTATAGCCATCAGCAATTCCTTGTCAAGCTTTTGTATAAGAAATTGTTTTATAAGAAAATCAAGCATCATGCTTCATTTTGATAATGAAACATGTAATTAAATAAATTCAATTAATAAGATAAGGCAGTCAGGTACTAGTAATTCCATTAATTGGACTAACTTTTCCCCTAAAATACTTTTGAATAAATACTTCTGATCATGACAAGGAGCACATGTGTATCGGCATGGGATTCTCACTCCTCCATGGCACCTGATCCCAACTCTGATGTTTCAGAGGTCTGCTCCTATTTTGTATTGTTCTATGGACTTATATTCTTGTAGGAAGAAATCTCATGATATTTTTAAATATGAATTTGAACTACCATATACACTAAAGAACTTTTTTTCATACTAATTGTTAGTCCGTTATTTATACACTGTATTTATGACGGATTTTTTCCTTTATTTCCCGATCATGACAATGAGCACACTGCGGGTGTGACCGGTCGGCATGGGATTCTCACTCCTCCATGGCACCTGATCCCAACTCTGATGTTTTGGAGGACCCCATTTGCTCTGCTCCCGAATTGAATTTTATAAATGGTCTTTTGAGCTTATACTGTTTTTATCTCCATATTTCATTATATTGTATGTAAATATACATGATAAGAAATGAAAGAAGTTAAAATAATACAAGGACCAGTGATCCATCTCAAAAATACCGCTGCACAAATTATACATCGGACCCTTAGTTTTAGGATCAGATGAAGTAGAAACTCACTGTCGACGGGTCAAAACTTTCATTCACTTTGCATTGATCAAGTGAACAAAATATTCTTTTGTATAATTTAACATAAGAACACAGGCTTAAACAAATTTTTTGGAAAAAAATTCTGACCCAATAATTTCTTTATGTTTCGGGGATTTCAACAAAATATAAAGTTAGCTTTTTAGTCGATATAGGGCTTATGGTTGTAAGTAAATATACTCTGACATTAGGTCCTATTCTGTCTGACTGGTTTCATTTCAATCGTTAAGTCTTCTACCTGATCAATATATTGGGCTAACACGGGTGTAAGAGGACAACAGGGAATTTTACTCCTCCTAGACACCATATCCCACCCCAGGAATTTCCAGGGGTCCATGTTTAGCCATATATAGCATATTTTTGAGATCAATCACAGTTCGTTATCGTAAAATTTTCCATTGCTAATAAATCATAATATGAATGGTTTAACACTCCAGCAAGAGAACATGTTTGGTTCAATCCAAAGGTTACCATTGGTGGCCACCGAGTAATTTTTCATTATAAGTTATTTTAGTTCTGATTTTGTTTTTATCAATGATGTCCTTGATCCAAACGGTTATATTTATAGTTTTAATCATATTAAAAAAATAACTTCAATGTAAAAACAAAATGTATTGTACATGCAGAACTGAAAATTGCTACTAGAAAGAGACTAGCCTGTATTTAAGATCACAAAACAATTCCATTTTCCAGACCACTCATTCCTGCTAGTATCCTGATTTTTTTTCTTTAACTGTTTAACAGAAAAAATAAGGTTGTATTTAGATAATAGATATTTATAATCTTGTCATTTAAAATAAAAAGGTAAAAATAACTTCAGTTATACAATGGAGATAAGAAAGACAATAATGTTGTGAACCACCATGAAAAAATATTTCAGCAATCATTTAAAACAACTCAAGAATCTAAATTTTAATGGTTATAATTCTGAGTTTTAAATAGATCATTACTACATAAAGTTATCTTTATAAATTGAATTAATTGATTCACCAGTATGTTCCTTCTGTGATACTGATATTGCAACTATAGGTCATCTTTTTGTTGAATGTTCCTGTGTTAACAACATTGGTTGGAGATTAAAGAATGGCTTTTGAATAAACTAAACTGGTTAGTTTGCTTCGATAAGAAATCAGTCTTGTTTCGTAAATTTACAAACAGAGAAACATTCAAGTTTGAGAATCTTTTGATTATGATTATCAAACAGCATAATTTTTTTAATAAGTTCAAAAATCCAATAAAATTAAGCATTGAGGAATTGAAACATGTAACTATTGAAAGAATATGAATTGAAAAGATTTATTGTTAGAAACTGTTAACTTGAGGAATTTACAAGACACTGAAAGGAAATTGTTAGAAAATAGGAAGGACTCATAAATCTTGTTTGTTTTTTTTTTAACAGTATTTTGAAAGTTCAGTGCCCCTTTATTCTCTTCCCTACCCTCTTTCTGCACTTCTTTCTTTAATCTCTCAAAAATTCTTTCACATATTAAGCATCTGAAAAGCACAATCAATGCCCATCGTAATTTCAAAGGTTTGTTGGAAAAATCAAGTTTCAAAAAAACTTCATATATCTTGTCAATGAAAACACTATAGCATCACTTTTCAAAAAGCTTATTAGAACTAAGTACAAAATATCAATAGAAACGATAGTTCCTTTTGATAATTCGAATAAAATTATTTTCCGTCTTTTATTTGGTTGCAAGAAAAAAAAGTTCATAGCCGGTTCAGTTATCATAATATTCTAGATTTTTATTCCCTTTTGAAATGAATGTATTCATAGGAAGTTTATTAACTCTGAAGCGCATAATTATCTCTTTTTATATTATTATTCTCTACTTTTTATATATAAATATATGAAATCTGATACTTTTAATCAGCATAGCAATCCATAACATGTATAGAAGCACAATAAAACGAGGTTATTGCCTCAAGTAACCTTCAAGTCGCCTCTTACTTCTCAGGGTTGTAACCAATGCAAAGATATACATGTAAAAAGTGATGATAACAACTAGTTATAAATCAAGTAACGAATACAAATCTTGAACAAGTCAAAAACACGACCCTTCAAAACACACCAGAGATGGGATCAAGTGCCTTTAAGTAGTAAGCATCTTCTGTAGACTGGTCACACTAGCCCTGAGCCACTTGATCATATATGATCATATTAAATAAATAACATTCATGTAAATGGTTTGTCAATTTCTCAGCCAAGACAGTCTACGTACAGTCTACGTACAATTAAATTGATGTTACTTGGTTCTTCACAATTTTGTATTGAATGCATTTGTTTTTCCTGTCAAAATTTAATGGATATTTCTATGTATTTCTTTTTTAAAAAAAAAAATATACAGTTTGATTTCCTACAAATGTCAAGACTATATTCCTTAATATCCCTTAATATAAATTAGATTAACATTATAGTTGTTTGAATACAAAAAAAAGTTTTTCTCACCTATGCCAGATATCCAACACTCTGTTTAAGAGCTTTAGATTGTGTAATGCAGACAAAATTGATCATAATTTAATAAGAAGCCAAAGGGCACTTAGCTAACTATAATGTAATTATACAGAGAGTCCGTGGAGTATAAATAATCTGATAGATGGAGATTTGTTGCCTAAAAGCAAGAGGCGTAGGATGAATAGATAAACGAAATAATTAGTTTTTAATCAGTAACAACTCTTAAATTAAGTTCTAATCTGTCACCCATTTGTTACAAAACCATGCAGACTATTATCAATCTGTGTGTTTTTGCACTATATTTAATCTCACTTTATAACTTCTAACACTGATCTCCCCTGGTCTTTGAAGATATTTTTGTAGCATTTTTTCCATATATTGTTCATAGGATTTCCTGATCATTAAAACTACGAAAGTGTGACCAGTTGACAGGGGATGCTTACTCCTCCTAGGCACCTGATCCAACCTCAGGAGTTTCCGGGGTCCTTGTCTTTAGACCTGTTCACAATTTTTTTTATTGTTTGTGGATTTTGTTAGATTACTCACTGTTCATAATCCACATCTAATTCTCTGTGAAGGTCTCTCAGATGATCTGCAAGGCAATGGATAAGATGCATAAGGAGGTAAACATCCCCTGTCGGGCAAAATACGAACAAATGATAGTCTATTTATGATAACGAGGTCATTATCTACGAAATACTGACTTTAAACAAATTGTTTAATTTCCTGTAACATCAATTTTTCTGTCAGTAGCCTGCTTCTGTTAATATACTGATCATTCACAAAGCATGATCTCAGTTTTAATTGGTAGAAGTAAACGCCATGTGTAAGCAACAGCTGAATAATACAACATAAACAAGGAAGACTGGCGATGAGAAACCTGAAGTCATCTCGTTTTTCATACATAGAAGATGTAATTTTAATTAGATTTTACAAATATGCCTGGACTGGTATATAGTTTTGGAAATATTTTCTTGTATATGATGCAAACGATAAACTGATATATTCTAAGAAATTGTCAATTTTCTATGATACACATATATCTACCTTTTAGC